ACTGCGTAGACTTGTATATAATTCGATAAAAACAAGGACTAATTTCACAAAACTTAATTTTAAAACAGTAGACCAACTATTGTATTTTTTTAGTCGACATTGACATAGTTTCCAATCATTGATCATTCATAACGATTGATTTCTCTTTCGAGAATTCAGCAGTGACTGTGAAATGAAAACAAAAAATCGGACAGTTAAGCATCGTTTAAATTCAAAGAAAATTTATGTTTAAATAATGATTCTTTTCTAATGTATGCCAGGTGCTCTACCTCCGCGAAGAGAATGTGTATTTTTTTTAATTTTCTATTTGTATTTCTTTCCTACGTGTGCTTTTAGCCGCTGCCAACAAATGATTATTAAAAAGATGATGAAAAGCAACAGTACATGTATTGTTGTTATATTTTCAATAACAAATAATTATCATTCCCTTAAATAAAAACTACGTTTAATTACGATATTCATTTGATGATTAAAATAAAAAAAATCCTATTCTGTTTAAAGCTTAGTCAGCGATAAGCACGGCTAATAATGCTATGTTATCAAGGAAGAATTTTGCAAATAAAATGAATAAAAGAATCACTCATAATGAACGAATTTGAGCGAGTATAGATTTTATTTGCTACTGTTTTAATTGATATGTCTGTAAGGGCCAAAGAAAACATGGAACAGTCATATACCTTGGTTTCCATCTTGACACTTGTTTTTGTAATGTTTATTGAAAGAATTAGTTTTTGATAATATATATTGCAAGGTTAATTGGTTCATAGATCCTTATCAGATCCTGCTTTTTGTCTCCCTGATCGGATCGTATCATAACACAGGACTATATCACATGTTTATAGCATATTTCACAGGTGCTAGTGGCATTGATTTGACCTAAAATGTGTTTGACCTTGTTATTTATACAATAAAATATCAAAATATTAAAAAAAAAAAAAAAATTTTTTTTTTCACTGTTATGTTATTATAGACAAGGTATGCAACATTCAGGTACGAAAATTATGGGTACGCCGGTTATCTGTGTTAAAATTTTTCACCGGGCGGTAATATCGTCGGATTTTTGCATGGAATCAATGCACAATATATTTTTCTATTACAATTTATTATTTACAGATCCCCAATTAACCGTTAGTTAATGTTATAAAGCGCGAAAGTAAGAAATCACCCAGGTCCGAAAGATGAGACCGTCATGACATGTACATTGTAACCTGGTATTTACGCTTGAAATACATCAACAAAGAGATCAAATGGGTCGAACACACATGCAAACAACTGGATTTTACATACATTTTAATGGTTTTATGCTCCACAAGTCGAACTCAGTCCTATGAGCCTGTATTTAAAGAAATATTCTACATGTAGACGATATTTTTAGAAGGTAATTCCTACCGGAAGTATTCTCCGGCTTCCGTTTCACATACATTGACATAGAGCGGAACAGGGAACCAAGCACGTGTTGCGGGAGAACACTTCCGATTTAGGAATTACCTTATACCAGGTACGTATATTAATATACGTACCTGCTTATACATGGTAAATACGGGCACATAGGACTTAGTGCCACTCATGGAGGATAAAACCATTTAAAAGTATGTAAAATCCAGTTGTTTGCATGTGTGTTCGACCCGTATTACCTCTTTGTTGATGTATTTCAAGCGTAAATACCAGGTTACAATGTACATGTCATGACGGCCTCATCTTTCGGACCTGGGTGATTTCTTACTTTCGGGCTTTATAACATTAACTAGCGGTTAATTGGGGATCTGTAAATAGTAAATTGTAATAGAAAAATATATTGTGCATTGATTCCATGCAAAAATCCGACGATATTACCGCCCGGTGAAAAATTTTAACACAGATAACCGGCGTACCCATAATTTTCGTACCTGAATGTTGCATACCTTGTCTATAATAACATAACAGTGAAAAAAAATTTTTTTTTATATTTTTTTTTTATGCCCCCGCCATGTAATGGCCGGGGCATATAGTGTTACCCTTTTCCGTCCTTCCGTCCTTCCGTCATTCCGTCATTCCGTCCTTCCGTCATTCCGTCATTCTGTCATTCCGTCATCATCAGTTTCCGTTCATTATCTTAGTAACGGTTGCATACATTCAACTCAAATTTGACATATGGATATGTCATGAGAAAATACAGGTCAAGTTCGAATTTGGTCATGGTTCGATGATTTTTGGCAGAGTTATGCCCCTTTTACTTTAAAATAATATGAAATTTTCAGTTTCCGTTCATTATCTCCCCAACGATACAACACATTCAACTCAAACTTGACATATGGATATGTCATGAGAAAATAATGGATATGTCATGAGAAAATACAGGTCAAGTTCAAATTTGGTCATGGTTCGATGATTTTTGGCAGAGTTATGCCCCTTTTACTTTGAAAATAATATGAAATTTTCAGTTTCCGTTCATTATCTCCCCAACGATACAACACATTCAACTCAAACTTGACATATGGATATGTCATGAGAAAATACAGGTCAAGTTCAAATTTGGTCATGGTTCAATGATTTTTGGCAGAGTTATGCCCCTTTTACTTTGAAAATAATATGAAATTTTCAGTTTCCGTTCATTATCTCCCCAAAGGTACAACACATTCAAGTCAAATTTGACATATGGATATGTCTTGAGAAAATACAGGTCAAGTTCGAATTTGGTCATGGTTCGATGATTTTTGGCAGAGTTATGCCCCTTTCACTTTGAAAATAATATGAAATTTACAGTTTCTGTTCATTATCTACCCAACAGTGTTACATATTCAACTCAAATTTGACATATGGATATGTCAAAGGAATGGGCAGGTCAAGTTGGAATTTGGTCATGGTTGGATGATTTTTGGCAGAGTTATATCCCTTTCACTTTGAAAATAATATAGATACATCTTAGGAATAAGCAGTTTAAGTTTGAATTTGGTCGTGGTTCAATGATTTTGGACAAACTTATCTTTCTTGAATGTTGAAAAAATTTTGAACTTTCAGTTTCAGCACTCATACTTTTGTGGAAAGTTTGAATTTGGTCGTGGTTCAATGATTTTGGACAAACTTATCTTTCTTGAATGTTGGAAAAATTTTGAACTTTCAGTTTCAGCACTCATACTTTTGTGGAAATGTATGTAGCCATTATTTTGGCTACAAATATGAAATATGCTATTTTCAAAAGGTTAAGACTGAATAATTTCAGTGCTTTGAACATTGTATGAAAATGGTTTGTGTTAACATTGAAAAGTTTTAAGGGCTTTGAACTGCAAATGAAAAAAATAATCTGTGCAAACAAATTTGGAACTAAATATTATAACATCTGAAATTTTGGCTGCATGCGGGGGCATCCGTGGCATGATGACACATTTCTAGTTTTTTAATATTTTGATATTTTATTGTATAAATAACAAGGTCAAACACACTTTAGGTCAAATCAATGCCACTAGCACCTGTGGCATATTTTATATTTACATGTATCTAGCTGTAACCAAAGTTGGCGATCGAGGCATTTGACCCTAACGTAATCAGTTCAGATGAAAGTAATAAATCGTTGTAGAAAGTAGATTGAAATAAATATGTCTAGCCAAGATAAAACCTCCACCCAGACTATGAGCCCATGTTAAACATCATTTCAATCAAGTGCAATAGATAGTTCATCCATAGTCGGATCCTGGTCAAACATAACAACGTTAGTACATTTTCATTTCGGAGACAGTTTGTGATAACTGTTCAAATACATTTCAAGTGCATTTGGCATTGAATACAAAAGAGTATTGCATTTACTAAAAATGTAAATATTAGTGATATTGGTATAAGCATTAGAATATGCATGTAGAATTTAACATGTGCACCACATCAATGAAAGTATGAGTGGTGCCTTCCAACATTAAGAATTGCTCGTCTTTTTGTTAATGTTACCTACCTCTCGTACATAGTATCGTATGTTCGAGCCATTCCAGGGTGACGACCATGTGTTCTCATTTGACAAACGAATATGAGATGGAGATTCGTTCAGAAAACTTCAAGATTCCGTATAATTGTCTAAAAGTGTCCATCATTTGTCAAAATATTAAAAGTAGAAGAAATGAAAAATAAAAGTTACTTTAAATTTGATGTCTCTCTTAAAGACTTTAGGTGTATCTGTTAAGTTGAATGAGATAAAATTTGTCATAATTGTCAACATGTAGGATGAGTCTTATATACTTTTAATGATGCCTTTCTGCTCACCAGTGTTCGTTAACAATAACTTTACAAAACTGTTGTAAATATTAATGTAGATGGTTGTAATAATAAATTTATCGTGTCAAGTATACAAGTATTTTACACCATAAAAAACTTATGTTCAGCATACCTTATTCGTCCACAGATTACATGGATATTTGAACATGTTATCAGTTATCAAGCAAATAAAATATGTTTATTTTTACAGTATGACACGTACGATGTATTGTGATAAACATGTCATAGTTGAGAGAGATATGTCAAACTTGTTTTTTCTATCCTGTTGAAAAAAGTTACAATCTCACTATAAACATTTTATTATTCAAACAAGTTGATATTTCCGTGATGCACAGAAATTGCCGTGTCGTTATAATGCTTAATGTGTAAAAACGTAAACAATGTTGGTTATTTACTGGTTATCATTTATCGAAGTCATTGATGACCAGAAAAACGTATTCTTAACTAGTAAATGGTTTGCAAGACTTTGTGCTTACAAACGTACATTGGTAACACACGAATAGGTGATCACATGAACATTGATATATTAGGGTTACGGTGTATATTATACAGGGATTCCGTTAATGGAAGTTTGGAGTCATTTACTTTCTTGATTTTGGCTTGTGTCTTCCATAATACAATACTTTTCCTTCTTTACCTATATAATATGACTTCCAATATCAGACATTTTGCAGTCTCTGACTTCCAAATTTTGGACCTCAATGGAAGCCCTGATTATATGACCGAGTATATCCGAGTATGACATTTTTGTTTGATGTTTTCAGGTGATAGCTTACAATGTAACAGCAGAATGGTTAGACTGGGGGGAATATGGAAACTGTTCGAGACCCTGTGGTGGAGGCCTTGTTAACAAAACGAGGACATGCTTAGGAGCTACACACACATGTACTGGCACTAACATACGCTACAAAGTCTGCAATACACAGGTTAGCTTATTAATTTCGACGTTTTACTGCAAATGTCCTAATTAAAACGTTTCACTCAATGTGTAACTCTTGAATTAATTAGATATAATAATCTTACAGACCTGCATTTCCGTTAGTTTTACCCATTCGGAAATTTCGTCTGGCATGAAGGTGCCAGATAAGTCGTATGCTGTACAATGGCACGCTTAGGAAGAAGTATTTTTCCGAAATGAATAAATTTATAATTTAATACGCTGTTGTAAGAAAAATTATACGGGTGTAATGACATAAATTTCAATAGAAAATTGTTTTATTAAGGTAAGGTTTAGAGTATACTTGAATATGGTAGAATATACAAGAAAAAATATCTGACATATGTTTGCAGATTGGATATGAATATCCGTCCCGTGGGACCCACCCATTGGGCGGTAACGAGGCTTGCCTGAATAACTTTAAGACTTACGTTATTAGAGTATTGAAAAATAATTCAAGCTGGTGCAGTTTTATTTGAGCTCATTTCGGCCACTGATACAACTCATCTTTCAAAATACATTTTGGAAAAAAGGAATTTTGTGACACGGATCTCCAACATAGGGTTTTATCCAGCACAGGGTTGTATCATAAGAGCAAATAAAACATATCTTAAAATGTTGTCCATTGCCAAGTGTCATTGGTCCATCGAACATTTTATCAATGGCTTTATCATTTCATACCATAGTCGCCAAGTTCTTCAACATTTATCAGGCATCGTGAAAAAGATATGTCGCCACCTTTTTACATTGACCTCGTTAAATAGTTCACCACGATTAATGTTTGTCCTCAAACAGTATATCACTGGTTACTGAAGATTTAAGAGAAAAATACATGTTGTTGTAATCTAAATAACAACGTATTTCGCGTAACAAGTTCCACTTGTGTGATTTAATTTAAAGCGACGTTTGACTGTTTTTATTCAGAGATCACTTGCGTGTTGAGAATATATTTGTATTGATCGATTAGAAAACAGATTCCGTTGCTATTTTGAGGCCCATTGTTAATGCTTTGAGAATTGATGGATCAACCGTTTTGCCAGATGATATCATTTGGTAATGAAATTATGCATGGACTGATTGTTAAACAGAAATTTTGCGCATAACAAATATGGCTTTATTTAAGAAATCATTTTATTTCAGATACTAACATAATAGTCTATTTCAGGCGTGTGGAAGTGAAGGCCTGTTTATCAGGGACAAACAATGCCAATCATTCAACAATGTTTCAATCAAAGACAACTATTTCCACTGGGTACCATATTACAGCTCTTCGGAACCATGCGTTCTCTATTGTCGAACTGTAGAAACGGGTTTTATCTTAAAAATGCAAGCGCAAACTTGGAATGGTACTGCATGCGGGAAGCAAAGCGGAGGCGTTTGTATAGGCGGCCGTTGCAAGGTTTGTTAGAAAGAATATTAACGATGAATCATTATATAATGTAGTTGCTATACAAAGTACACGGAGTATATATAAATCGTTGTTTTAAACCAATTATGATATATATATATATACCATTCTCAGCAAAAAAGGTATAGATTTTACAGATATCTTATTCGAAGCTGAAATTTATATGGTAAAACATAAGAACAATATGATTGTAACCATTCAACATGTATAGCTATCAACATAATCATATTAATTGATAAACAATGTATGAGCACAGGAACTTGAAATTCTATCAAATAACCAATATTAATTATAATTTCCAAATATACCCCCTATATACTATAAAAATATAGGGGGTATATTTCGCATATTATCGTTAATAGTGATAGAATTTCAAGTTCCTGTGGTATGAGTACTAAATTCATAAAATATCCGATATTCATAAACGTTATTTCATGTTTAGAAAGTCGGATGCGACGACATAGTTGGATCTAAAAGAAAGCTAGACCCATGTGGAGTGTGCGGCGGTGACGGTACGTCATGTGACAAAACACGTGATCATAGAAAACGTCATCATGAAGCATACGTCACAGGTTTTCAGTGGGACATAGGATGGAGTATGTGTTCTAAGACCTGTGGGGTAAGAATGTTTTTTGATGTTACTGTACATGTACCATTTTGAATTTCAAATTGTCTAATGGTCACATGTTTGTTACGAAATTGTTACCATATTCACCCTGACTCAATTTGTGAATTTATAAGTACATATCTAATACTAAATATATAAAAATTGATATGGCCTTTTCACATCTAATCACTTGTTTTTAAAAAGATGAAAAAAAATGCCACAAAACAACATTTTTTCTTCAAAATTATGTGTGAGGCCATGTTTTAACATGGAAAAACTCGATTTTGTTAATTCCAAGATTTTTTATCATTTTCTGTTATAAAAATTAATTAAATACGAATAAAAACCTCAAATAGATTTTGATACTTAGTAATACCCTATTGCTACAAAATATCGTCTGTGTTTGTATTTTTAGAAAGGAATACAAGTTCCGTTCGAGGTATGTAAAAATTTGGACACAGGAGAGGAAGTCGGTACAAGGTTTTGTTCTGGTACTGATAAACCATCTCTTCCTAGGACGAGAGTCTGTGATGAAAGAGACACATGTGATTTCAGGTAAATACAAAAAGAATTGCGTTCAAATGAGTACAATTATACCAGGCGAAATAATTTTCTGGAAATTCACTGATAAATGATATTGAAATTTAAGTTTAAGGAACGGAAAGTGATGTAAAAAACCGATATTATACATTAGCATTGGTCACGACACCTACTGTGCAATACTATATCTAGCTGAAAGTTTAATGAGTTTTAGAGATCTTTTGATATTCTGTTCTAATACGTCAACAGTTGTCAGATATAAGAAAAGTTATAGCTGAAATGTTTGACTGACATGTAGAGCTAGTGCCATACCTTATGTCGTACCTATTTGCTCGATAATTATATATCACGAGATATTTCTAAGTAACCAATGAACGAGCATCTGAATATGATATTTCTGTCGCTTTCCTTTTCTCTACCGTCACAATAAGTAAACCCCGGCAAAAATGAGCCAATCAATGGGCATGCTCTGGAGTGCGGGTAACTAATACCTGCACTCCAGTTCATGCACTGTGCATGTTTATGTATACGATTTAACTCTGACACATTTTCAACAGAAAGGTCCCCAAACTATGATACAATTTAAAGTAACTATAACAACACTTGCCTATCTGACCTCAGTGATAAGGAGTTGATACTTTTAGTTTCAAGTTGAAGGTTGTAGGTTCGAATCTTATTGAAACATTATTTTTGTATGTTTCTTTTTATTATATCTTGCGAAACTTGACTACTACATTTTCTGTGCATGCCGATCACTAGTTGTAAGACTGTACAAATTTAAATTATGATAATTTACCTATACATCAAACTATCAAAGTTATGATTGTTTTAAGAAAAGACACATTACATTAAATAAATGATTCATCCACTAATGCTGTAAATAATTTTGAAATCTGAGAAAAAGGTTGGTTGAGGATTCAAACTTGCAACTCCGCGTATGCTATGCTATCATACTTACCAGTTACCACTAAGCTGTCGGGACATTAATATGAATACAGTATAAGAACTTTCCTATCAAAACATCGTAATAAATTACGAAAACTAACGAAAAAATTTCAAAAAGCTTCCGAAAAATAAAAAATCTCAGGTCAATATTGCCAAACAAATATAGCATTTGATATGTTATTTACATATATCATTTTAAAATTCTATACTCTGTGCAGGTGGCAAACTTCAAAATGGGGATCATGTAGTCGATCCTGTGGTGACGGGTTCAAGTATCGACGTGTCGTCTGTGTCAAACGTTACAACTCTAGTATAGAGCACGTGCTGGACCACAACTGTGTGGATGCTAAACCGCAAGGGAAGACGTCGTGTTACCTTGGCGATTGTCCCGAGTGGTTGACAGGACCTTGGTCCCCGGTAAGTTGACCCGAACATACCTACATATTTCAAATATATCATTAATTTGCTGCACGCGAATATTTACGATATTTACATTTCTAATGGGCCAACAACTCTCTATATTTCATGGTATTGCTTTTATATTTATTGTTTCCCTTTACTGCAAGAAACTAAACAGACATTCGACGATCTTTACACTGTCTTAAGTTAGTATTTTGAAATTCATGCCGGAATGTTTCTCTTTTTGTTATGTAGTGTTCGGTGTCATGTGGGTACGGGCAACAGAAACGGAAGGTTGTATGTCGTGCATCTTCTACGGATCTATGTACCACTGAGCACAAACCAGCAACTGTACAGAAATGTTTCTCTGGCAAATCATGTGGCACGGGGAGCTTCCAGCAAGACGGTTAGTCTGATTTAATACATAGGATATGTTCTTGTCATAATAACAATCAGTTTTCACGAACTCCGACAGATGTCCCGAATGTTAGGAAAAACTTTATATGTGATAAAGGGATCAGTTGGGAACAAGATACCGCTATGCATGCGCTTTATTCCAGTAGAATTAATTCATGAAGAAATTAAAAAAAATTTAAAAAAAAACACCAGTTTTCTCACATTAATAGTGGAAAAATGCCGCATGTAAAACCTTGAAAATGACGTTAAATATGTAACAATGTACAAAACTTTATAATAATTTTTGGACGGTATTTCTTAATAATGCTTACTTAATTGTTTTACTGACGCTTGATTTAATTATTTGTTGAAAATGCTTGATGAACTTTGTCGAATTACTATTAAGCTTATAATATTTTCATATATTTGTTAAAATGAAAAAAAATAAAAACAAATATTATTATATTTAAAAAACAACAACTTGGCTTAGTCCAAATTAACTCACTTGGTAGTGTGTCTACATAATTATGTACTATAAAAGTTGTTCTTATTGACACTTTCTTAACTCAGTTAATAAGTCCGAATAGCAGAAAAGTAATCAGATGCAATGGGGATTCACGTAATATTTTCCTGACGGCTTGGGATGTATAAACTTAGAATCTTTTATACACGTGGACATAAAACTTTTCAATAATCTTTATACCTAATAGACTCTTGTGTTCAAAGGTTTACAGATGTTATTAATGATATAGCATTGCCACTTTTTAAGAAAACTACCATTATTGACCCAAATAGAGTAAAATGTGATAATAGAGTATGTAAAAGGGCTGAGTGGTTTGACGATGAATGTCGACAAGCTAAGTGTGCTTTTTTCGATTCACTTTCTGTTTATGATAGACACAAAACCGAGGAAAATAGGACTGAAATGTTGCGTTTAAAATGTGTGTATAAAATGTTAGTAAAACGTAAAAGAAAAACATTTGAATGTGAAAAAATAAAACGAATTGAAAATTTACGTCATTCAAAACCAAAAGACTTTTGGAAGTTTTTTCGTAGAAAAAATGAGAAAGGAAGTGGCACATTAACTGTAGATGATTTTTTGAAATATTTTTCAAGTTTACAAAATGAATTTCAAACCCCTGTGAATAATGAAGCTGAGGAATTTTGTTCAGAATATGATTTTGATGCAAATAGGTGTAGTTTTGAAGAGTTAGATAAGCCAATCACAACTACTGAAGTCGAATTTATTGTTAAAAAACTAAAAAGAAATAAAGCTTGTGGTAGTGATAATTTATTAAATGAATACTTTATAGAATGTTATGATATACTTTCGGCACATTTGGTAGATATTTTTAATGCAGTTTTGAATTCTGGACATTTTCCATCTGATTGGTCTAACGGTATTATAGTGCCTATTTTTAAAAAGAACGACCCATGCGATGTACGGAATTATAGAGGCATCACACTTGTTAGTTGTCTATCGAAAATTTTTACTGGAATTTTAAATAAACGACTGAATGATTGGTCCGAAAAAAATGATATACTAAGCGATGCTCAATTTGGTTTTCGCAAGGGTCGTTCTACGGTAGATGCAGTTTTTGTATTAAACGCTGTTGTACATAAGATTTTAAATGAAAATAAACGTTTGTATTGTTGTATGGTTGATATGAAAAGAGCATTTGATAGTGTGTATCTAAACGGCCTATGGCTAAAATTGCATAAGTTAGGAATTGATGGAAAATTATTTAGAATATTAAGGGACATGTATTCACAAGTTAAAGTTTGTATCAAGGGTTGTAACTCATATTCGGACTATTTTGAGTGTGCTGTAGGCTTAAAACAAGGAGAGGTTATGTCCCCTTTATTGTTCTCATTATTTGTTGATGATCTTGAGCTATTTTTACAAAGAGGGCATGACAGTGGTTTAACCTTAGATGATATTACTTTTATTCTAATGCTTTTTGCAGACGACATGGTTATTTTAAGTGACACTGTTTGCGATCTTCAAAATAGTCTAGATTTATTATATACATACTGTAACAAATGGGGCCTAGAAGTAAATACCCTCAAAACAAAAATAATTGTTTTAAGGAAATGAGGTCACATAAAGCAAAATGAGCATTGGACATATAATAATGAAAACATAGAAATAGTTGATAATTTTAATTACCTTGGGATTGTTTTTAACTATACGGGTACATTCATACTAAACCAAGAAACATTGGCTGGCAAGGGCCTTAAGGCCCTTAATATTTTGATGCATAATATAAAGGGATTAAATCTTAAACCTAGTGTTATATGCCAACTTTTTGATGCTTTTATAACAGCTACTCTTAATTATGGTTGCGAAATTTGGGGATTCAGTAAGTCAAAAGAAATTGAACGGATCCATCTGAAATTTTGCAAAATGTTATTAAATGTTAAATCTTGTTGTACAAGTATGGGTGTGTATGGTGAATTAGGGCGCTATCCGCTTTACATTAACAGATATGTACGCATTATTAAATTCTGGTGTAAAATTGTATCGTCTACAAATATATTATTAAACAGATTATATGATAATTTTTGTAAATGTAATGTTATCAAAAATAACTGGGCATATCAAGTTAAAAGTATTTTGGACTGCTATGGGTTTTCATATGTTTGGAACAACCCATCCTGTGTTGATCTAGGTAAATTTCATTTACTTTTTAAAGCTCGACTAATTGATACCTTTAAACAAAACTGGTTTCAACGATTGCAAGAATGTGAAACATTATTTATGTATAAGCAATTTAAAACAGAATTTAGATTTGAACCATATTTAGATTTATTGTCATTCAAGTTTCGAAATGCTTTATCAAAATTAAGATTATCTTCACATAAACTGGCTATTGAAACTGGACGCTATTCTAGAAACAGAGTTGAACGAAATGAGCGTTATTGTATTTTTTGTCAAAACAGAGATATTGAAGATGAATACCATTTTGTTATATCATGTCCGTTGTACGAAGATTTTAGAAAACAATATATCAAAGCATATTTTTATAGAAGACCAAATGTTATTAAATTTACAGAGCTTTTTAAGAGTGATAATCAAGCTATAATTAGAAATCTTTCCAAATTTGTTTACAATGCTTTTATACTTAGAAAGTCTTTGCTATGTTAACTTTGCCAATTTTATGGAAGGAATTTATTTCACTTTGATTTTGTTTATGATATTGATTCATATATATGTAAACATCTTATTCATCCTCCACAAACAATATGTTGACAATGTAAATTGTGTTCACTGTCTGTTAAATCACATGATAAAATTATGATATTTATGTATATGCAATTGTATGACAAAAAACTGTATTGTTTAGGTCAATAAAATTATCTATCTATCTATCTATCCTAATGGTGATCAATCTCATGCCCAGCCTAAAGATTTTTTTAAGATATAAGGAGAGCAAAAACTTTTTTTTTCTTATTTCAGATTCTACAGTTACAGAACATGATTTCTTTGATGACGCCATGCTACAAGATTTATTCACGTTACCAAGGTAACTACTTTTATCATTCTTTATTCTTTATTAAAAACATATAATTTAGTCACGTAGATATTTGCAGACTTGAATATCAGTGTGTGTCGTTTTGTTGTCTCTCTTTCTCTTTTTTTTTTTGGGGGGGGGGGGGGGTATTTTTTGTAACCTGAGTCCGTGTCATAATTATAATGTTTATAATACATTTGGCGATTATGTCTTTTTATATCTGTAATTACATATTTCTTCGGAAACAGTCTTAAACAGGATGTTATTCTATTACAATTAATCACCACAAAACACGATAGTCATTAAATAAATCATATCGTATTATGCAGGATAGTCATATCTATTATTATTATTATTATTATTATTTTTAATTATTATTATTATTATTATTGTTCTTATTATTATTTTAATTTCTTTGCAAAAACGTTAGAAAATATTATCTACATGTATTTTAATTTCATAAAAAAAAAAAAACATTTTTAAAATTAATATTAAATTTTGTAAATGACGGATATGGTCTTTTTTGGGTTTTTTATGCTAAAAAATAATTAAGTTTGTGACAAATCGTAATTTTTTAAGAAACCCATACGTCAACATGATCTTTTCGTCCGTCTGTATGTTTGCTAGCGACTTCGATTAATACACGTTAAGATGAAATACTAGGTTGTTTTTTGTATGTTGTAGGTTTGTAGTTTCATCATGGGGTCCCTGCTCTGTAACATGTGGTGTTGGCTACAGGCACAGAAATGTGACCTGTAAGAAAGATAGCCAAGTCGTGCCGTTCTCTGAATGTGAAGGTTATTTTATATTTTTATCTCTTTTTTAAAATGTTTCGGTAGATAGTGAATTTAGATTGTGACAGAAGTAAACACTCTGTGTGCTTATTTTTGTCATAGACAATGTTCAGCGTGTATTTAAACAACAAAATGAAAGACATTTCAATGTGCCATGTTATATATTATCTGTTTGATGTCATATTAAAAGGTTTTATAATTCATATTTTAACTATAAGATAGTGAGTTGCTCTGGGGTAGATGTTTTGTATTACTTATAACCAAAACAAAAACCAACAATATGCCAACCCTTCTTTCAGGATTGACTACCACTATGCTTGTATGATATGGAAGTAAATGCTTTTTAATGCTTTTGTTTAGACATTTAGTTATATAAGGGTACATTATATTTCAGGAACTGAGCCGCACAGTAAACGTGAATGTCATCAAGGAAAGTGCCCGTTGACAGCTTCCGGTGACGAGGCATTTGTCTGGCGTCATAGAAAGTTCAAACCTTGCAGTCAAACTTGCGGACGCGGTAAAGTTCTAAATACCTTAACTCGTTACGGTCTTCCATAAATTTTAGCCACTTACAATGTCATGTCTTCAAACTATTATATATTACAGTAAAAACCGTACATTAAGGCCATCAATAGGACTGGACTAAAGTGAACGGTCTCATTAGTTGATATTTATATCAAGGCATATATATTTTATGACAATATTCTGTCAAGGTCACTTTGTATGAAAATGTTCAAACAATCTTCAAATACTACTGAAGAAGATGTTGTAATATATTAATATGATGAGAAAATTAATAGAAAAGGTTAAATTCACACAGATCTGCTTTTTATATTGAATGATGTAATAAGTCATACATCAAATTATAGAGTTTTACTTTTCTGTATAAAAAATGTCTCTGATCAAATAGGAATATCATTCTTCACGACATAGATGTACAGAAGCAACAATAGACCACTCTGAAATATATTTTCTCATCTGATTTTACATATGTTTTGAATTCTGAATTGGGGTATTTAGCTAATGATAACTATTCACGCTTATGACACACTGTCCGCATACAATATGTTTTGGATATGTAAAATGCGAGATTTACGCACGAAGGTATTAATGCGATTTAAATGTTAGAAAGAAACCATAGTCCATTAGAGGTCATTTTACGGAATGGCAAGTATATCGCCAAAGCACCCATTAGAATTTGTATAAAAATATGCGGTGTCAAAATATTAGAGTAATATATTGTCTGTTACAGGAACTCAAACAAGTATCCTGGAATGTGTTGACGTGGTCAGCAACAGAACTGTAGTCGATTTCCTGTGTGAAAAGTTGATCAGACCAGGACCGATAACCCAATATTGTAATGTAATTGATTGTCCACCAGGGTAAGTAATTGTAAAGAATGTTTAAACTTGTCTGATAAGATGACCAAAAAAAAAACATTAAAATATCGAATCTAACCCGCATTCTTTAAGTATTGATGCTTCTCTATTTGTGTGGGATGGGAAATGTGTCGGTAGACGTTGTTACTATACGTTAATAGGCCATTATTTATTTTATGGGCCAATTATCTCCTACCGGCCCGACTCTGTCTCTCTTTTAATATTGTCTTAATATATAAATTTTTTGGCTGATAAATCAATATATATTTGCCTTGTTCACTATTTACGTGTTTATCATTAAACATTGAAAGATGATATGCAAGCACAAAGAAGCACTCGGATCCAATGAAGTTCGCAGACACTGAAATATACCGAAAACAAAATGTTTTTATGATTTGTTTTTGTTTATATGTCCATTGAGGAATATCTTACAAAACCAAAAACAAAACAAAATACAAAAATAACAACAACGGCAACAACATAAAAAGCTTCAAAATAAGTGTTATTTACAGATGGCGTGTAAGCGAGTATGGTACATGTTCAGTGCCGTGTGGCGGTGGTAGACAATCACGTGATATTGAATGTGTTCAGATGACGTCAGGTGGTGCACAAGAAACTCTGCCTTTATACAGATGTCCAGACCCTGTTCCACTATCAGAAAGATCTTGCAATCTAAAATTTTGCCAAGCGGAGTGGAAAACCGGATCTTGGGCAGAGGTATGCAGATTTTATTCAATTTATTTTCATTGCAGAATAACCAAGGATTTTACCCGATTTGGGATTATTATTACATGTTGTATAAACCCATGTCCTTTATGATTGAGTAGCCACCGTTTATCCCTGCGTGATCTAAGAAGCGACTAAATGAGTTTAAATAACTCGCGTCTATGCATCTCTTAGCTACAGCAGGTGAAGTGGTTTTGACCACTTGTGTTGCTTTGAAGTTTGTAACACCCGAAGTTAGCCAAAGTCATCTTTCCTTTTTCGGCACTATATGATCTATACTGTGTTGGTGTACCTAAAAACCAAACAAACAAACATTTTGACGTTTAAAAGAAGTACAATTAGGCTGAGCAAGAAAATTGTAGTGTAAACCTTTTGTCAAAATGAGATTATGTGGCTGGTATAAAACATTATCGTGTGCAAAAATAAGATAATGTGGTTGTTCGGTGGGTAGAAAACCGTAACTAATAAATGAAATGTAAACATGAAATGTAAGATAATTCAGATAATTCACCTCTGTTGTAAACAGTATTCTGCATCTTTCAGTGCTCGGTTACTTGTGGTGCCGGGTTCGAATCAAGGCCAGTATTCTGTGTAAAACATCTGAAGACAAATCTGCAAGTGAATGTCTCTGATTCGGAATGTATCGGACCGCGTCCAACGAACACGAGACCATGTTACTTTGGTGACTGCTATAAACTACAGCAACTTCCGGAAATAAAGGAGCGGAAAGGAGTTTTTATTCAAACGAAACGGTCGAAAAGGATACGTCTTTATGTTGGAGAAAAGGCAATTCTTTTGCCAAATCAGTCCGTTAAAATCAAATGCCCAGTGAGAAACTTTCATAAGAAATTAATTTTCTGGACTAAAGATCACCGTTTGATTCCGTTAGTTGGACGCGTAAGAGTTTCTTCCAACGGAGCCCTCAGAATAACACGTGCAAATCCAAAAGTTGACACGGGTGTTTTCACGTGTAGTGCAGGGTTACTTCATGCAACCGTTAAGGTATCTTTTCAATCAAAGCGTGAGGCTAAGCAACAAGCAGATACTATATTAAATTCAATATTTCAAGCTAATTTTAACGGGAGTAATTTTCAAGCTGACGGTACATCTAAGATGAAAAATACGAAGTATTTACATATAAATGCAATAGATGAAAACAGTGGGTATGATTATTCAAGTTTTACCACATCAAACTGGACCGAGTGCTCGGAAAAATGTGGGTGGGGTACGCAAACAAGAATTGTGACGTGTAATCACTTGACTGATAAATTCATAAGGCTTTTACCAGAGGAGGAGTGCTTGAAAAGAGGACTTGAGAAACCTACCTCAACCCAAAAATGTATTATAGAGAGTGAATGCCCTTCATGGACAGCCGGAGAATGGTCAGAGGTGAGAATGAATTATGCTGATTGTCGTTTATAAAGGAATCAAACTGTTTTCTTTCGGTTTTCTTAGAGAGCTGTTTGAAATTAATTTATTAATAATTACAAATAAAATCATATGGTGAAGCAACTTGAGAACTTAACTTCTCTGAATTTCGGAAGTAATGTTAATTTAATATATGACGTTATTATATTAAATTATATTGGGTATAATACTGAGTTCTATTTGACGAGTACAAAACTGTCAAAACTATATTAGACAAGATACTAGCCGAGTCTGATATAGGTTTTGACGCTGTGTGTAAGTCCAATAGAATCAGCATTGTTCTCAATCATGTTTAATGATCTCTTTATTTCACACCACCAGTGTTTGACAATTCGACAGAACTTTATAATTTCAATTACAATAAGGATTTGATATGGATTAAGACTTGAATGGGTGCGATACAGATTTGATATAAATCTTTTGGACCCTGGTAATGAAAATGAGTCTATATAAGGGGTGTAATGTTGGTTTGATATGGACTTTGTTGACTCTGGAAATAAAAAAGAGACTATTAGTAAATTGATAAGCTTGGACCCTATAATGATGTCTATAGGAACGTCACGTGGTACAAAGGCTGAGTGACAGAACATTGGTTATTTTTATGGTGTTGAAACAATGTATATTGTATGCATTACTTTTTACTACTCATTTGTTTTTTATAACAATATTATTAGAGGCTTAATTATAATGATGTATTAATCTGCTAGCCATTTGTTTTGTTGTCGTTGAAGAGTTACTTTTTCTATATTGTAATTCATCGAGGCCGAGCTTTTAATAAAACAATCGCTTTAAGAGATGCTAGTCTAATAGCTTATAAAACTAAAGGTTACGTGATTTCAATATCAAAATATATGAAAATAATTAGAGTATCTTACATGTAGTATCATTATTATTGTGAAACAGTCAGAAATATTAATAACAGATTGCAATGCATTTAAATCATGTTGTTTCTTTTTTTAAATAAATCATTTATTACATGAGAAGATTTTAATGACAAATTATTGAATTCTTAAATAGTGTACAGATGAGAAGTGTGAAAAAGTAGGTCATTCAGTACAAACGAGAGTTGTTCAATGCCTTTACAAGAACCAGACCGAGGCTCTGGTATCTAAATGCAACATTATCGAGAAGCCTATTGCTAGAGAGCATTGTAAAAATCCAAACTGTACTGCTGAATGGCAGACATCAAAATGGTCAGATGTAAGTATATGTTTGTTTGTTTATTTATTTGCTTAAGATGTAAGATAATGTGAGCCGCGTCACGACAAAACCAACATAGTGCGTTTGCGACCAGCCCGGATCCAGACCAGCCTGCGCATCCGCGCAGTCTGATCAGGATCCATGCTGTTCGCTATCAGTTTCTCTACTTGTAATAGGGTATGTAAGCGAGCAGCATGGATCCTGATCAGACTGCGCGGATGCGCAGGCTGGTCTGGATCCATGCTGGTCGCAAACCCACTATGTTGGTTTTGTCGTGACGCGGCTCATTTACCGTTTTGATCAATTAAACCATTTTTGTTGTTTTGCAAAACGTATAAAAAGGGGTTCAATGAACTTCCTAAATAACACAAAAACAATGTATGTACTATTTGTAATCACCTATAATTAGTTCCTGAAATTAAAGTTTGTCCAATGAGATCTTTCTTCTTTTTTTTCCAAATTCATTGGTATATTTAATTGAATCGTTACTAAAATGTCAGTCAACACTATCCTATTAAATGAGTGTATGTATCACTATCGTACAGTGTAAAGATACAGAACATCATTCCAACCACTAAGTCAAGAGCCGTCGCTAATGTAAAGCCTGTATAGTCTAGGCTGGCTCTATATTGTTGGTTAATTTTGTATTTCTTTGTACTGAAATTCTGACACTTTAAAGGGGACTGACCCAAATTCAAAGTACAGCATATCTATTGCACAAATTCAACAGGTCAAGGTAAGAAATGTTAAGATTTCACTTAGCACAAAGCGTAACGAGATGTTTTGTTTCCTTACAGTGTACACCATTATGTGGCGCCAAAGGACGGAAGTTACGTACGCTAAGTTGTGTATGGGTATCGACTAAACTTCCGGCATACAATGTTTGTAGAAATAAAGCCAAACCATCTGTCTCAAAAACATGTAAACCTGCGAAATGTAGACACAGTAAGTTTTTAACTTCAGTTTGTCATTGTAAATATAAATATATATTTTTGACGACATCATCTGAAAGATTTTTTTCTTTTAACTAGCTTCGTTACAGCGTTTATAGCTTACAGCGTTTCTAGGTTACGTTTGAAATGTAGGCGTTTGATCGTCTGATCATAAGGAGTCAGCATGTTCTGGTGATACATGCATTTTTTTATTTGTCACAAAGCGCGAGCAATATATACGGAATATTTTGTTGCAGTAGCTTTCTGAGGATTTGTATTTTGCTACGAGCAGCGTTGACAAATTTATATCTCGCGTGACCGAAGGACGAGTGAGAAATCAATTTTTCAACGTCGCGAGTAGCAAAATACGTGGCCTTAAAAAGCTGCTTCAACATAATTTTCCTTTTGTTATATACCTTTTCATTTTAAGTAAAAAGCACTTTCAATATACTTCACTTCTATATTAGTAATTTCATGAAATGAAATGTAGTTGTCAAGAAATAAATTCATAAATGGCGGATGAATACGTATTTTTTGCAAAACTGGCCACGCCTTTAATAATGTTGGTTCCCGTTTCCAAATGCTATGTTATACACAGCTGCAACTAAGATGGAAACCAACGTCAAAAATAGTTCGGCACTTCCATATATGGTATTTCTATCCGTTCAAGCGTAATCGCGCTTCAAGATTTACGTGTACTTTAGGGAAAAAATTATAGGTATATAATTAAAGGCGTTTAAGTGCATTGGTCTATAATGGGAGGTATGTAATACAATGAATAATCACGGTGATATTTAGTTGACATACAATGTAACAATAAATCTCGAAAAAATTATACATGGAACTTGTTGGCAAGTGTGAGATACATGGTTTGATATTACATACATTGTATAGAAGACAGTAAAATTGTTCTAGAACAAAATATTGTTTCAAATTAACGTTCATTCTAAATTATTTAGAATTTTATCAACATTTTTTTTCCAAGCGCATTTTATAAGAAAATCCAAAAGATTGATTTCAATTGTTTTTATCAATATTTGAAATTATAATGGAAAATGTGCCCATTGTATAGACATATTAACTTTAAGGGAGAATATATTATTTCAAAATGGATAACATATCCGTCGTTTAAAGGTTATGTAAGCATTTGACGTCGTTTACTCACGAATAAGTTCACAATGAATTGTATACGCTTTCAACCAACGTATACAATTCACGTGTAAGCAAAATACTTTGTTATATGTAAAGGGTGCAGTACTAGTTCTTTCATATAGACTTTCTTTAAACTTGTGTTATATCCTTATACATTGTATATTTAATAACCAAATGAGTTTCCCTTATCTATCATATTCCACAATTTGCATCAAATTTATTCTTTAAAATCATTTTAATTTCTACATTGTGATACATATTAACACTTACGTTTTATAAAATGTTATATTTTGCATTTTTAGCAGAAACTTGTGTCGACAACTCATCGTTCTGTGATTTAGCTGGACATTTAAAAATGTGCAGATATCACAAGTTCCGCTGGAAGTGCTGTAAAACGTGCAAACAAGCCAACATTAGCTAGATTCAGATAGTCCTGCAAACTGTGATTTTAATTGTTCAGATAGAAGCAAAGTCGCCAGACACTAGGCAAATCGTTTCCAATGGCAGCGAATGCATGTTTTACAGAAGACATGTAACAAATTGTATACTGCTTTACATGTGTTTTAGTCGTACAAGACACTTCCACCGGAAATGACGTTAACAGAGATGACAATCGTGCGCAGACAACTGTTGTTTTCAATTTTCTGAATTTAGCTGTTGCAATTGTTGAAAACAATTTACATGGAAATCTGAATATTCTAGAGAGCTGGAACTTGTACCGTACAGATATATTTGACCCATTATACATGTTTCTGTTATGATTATAAGGTTGTTTGATATATACATTACATAAATCTTTTTTTCTCTCTTTTTCTAGTTTCAACCAAAGTAACCGCATTAAATATATCAAAAGAGTTATGATTACGTTGTTGCGGCAAAGCCGAGTGATTAACGCGGCGGACTAGTAATCTAAGGATTGCTGACCGCATGGGTTCAAACCCTGACAGGGGCAAGCTGTTGTTTCCTTCAGCAAGAAACTTTACATTCACTTTACATTTATATTGCTTAGTACTGGTTTGTTCCAGGAACGGATTCGAGAGTGTTTCAATAAGATTAAGCATATAGCTTCCAACACAATCGAACTAAAATAAATTTGTATAAAACCAAAAGAGTTATGATATCAATATGTATCGGTATCATAAATTATACGAAGTCTGAATACATGAAGGTTCTTACTGATTTATTTAAATACAATGTATTATGAATTCTGAAATCGTCTTTATGATAAAGGTTTGTTCTGCTGAATCGCCATTTGACGTTGTTCATTTATTCCGGCGTCAAGTTCTAACACAAGCATTATTTTATGACCCGTCACTGTACATAACTATCATTGTGGATTGTATATTTTTTATGATATTAATTTTCTAATAAAACTTTGAAATACGTGAAGATTTCTTGATTTTTCTTGTTTCAACCTGAACACTTGTATTGTTCCGCAGCCAGCCTGTTGAGGGCAAATTCAACAGTGTTATGGTATGAATTTTACTGCTCAATATGCGGAAGAACTATAAAAAGGAATGCATAAATTTAAAAAATAAAATACTTAATATGTAAATAGGCGCATAACTCTAGAAATACAGATCGCTTAGTTTTGTCCATTTTCAAAATTTGCAAGTTTTTAAATGCTGTAGGTCTTGCAGAACCCACGATATTTCAGCGGGTGCAAAAAATAACGCTCTGTAATTCAAAGATTGGCAGGGGTATCTGATAAGTTCTTTGCCATCCTACAAAAAAAAACAGTATCTAAACTACAGAAGTGCAAAGAAAACAGCTTGCATCTCCAACGCTTTTTAAGATAATTATGTCAAAGCCAAAATTATGTGCAAAAGAGAGTTTAACTTATGTACTGATCTGTATTTCATTTCTTTATAGTCATATCTCCGCCATTGCTAAAAAAAGGGTCACTTTTCTTCAACGCAAATATCAGTAATTTGGGCTGCCATTATGTTGCAAGCAGTATTTGACGGCACGTCAAATATCGAAGCTCTATGCATTGTAACTTTACACAAGAAGACTTCTTCGGTATTCCTATATAAGTTTACATAAACTAGTAAGTGGCTGCGAGGGTATTTCTACACAATTGGAATGACATAAAGTAGAAAATCACAAAGTGATGATACATGCTAAACATAACAAACTTTGTACATTCAGGACAATGTAGGAGATTCAGAAGAAACGATTTTAAGACACGTTTACTGTATATGTCTACATAAACTGTGTCCCCGACGGTGGGGCCATTTTTGACCCTATATGTTTTTGTAAAGGTCCATTAAGCTATGCTTTATACTAAGTATCTAAGTTCAGAGTTTGCAGTTTTTCACAAGAAATCTAAATGTGTTTTCCAATTATTTTTAGTCAAATAAATGAATATTAAATAAAGTGACCCTTGGACCCGGCCAATTTTGACACAAGAAGAATAATAACAAGAGCTGTCACAGGAGACAGCGAAGGTCGACTAATAAAATACTGGACGCAGTAATAAAGACAAAATTATGAAAGAAAAATCATTTATGTATACTTATGTATTAAGTTATAGTAAAAAAATAACATTTGTTAACATAAATTCCAAGATCAATGGGAATAATTCTTAAAATAGTCACGCTAGAGTTATGAACCTTGTCACACAACATGTGTGTAATGATAAGAAATATATATTTGAAGTTGATGCGACATGCAAAATACCAAATACAAAAGAAGACTTCTAAAGGCATGACATATTACTTTTGCAGATGACTTCAAGGTTATACTACAATCCAAATATCTAGGCATTGTTATTTCAGAGAAGTGGTTCTTTAAGACATTTTACTAAACTGGCCTATGTATCTGACCTCGAGGACGAAGTCATTTTTTACCAGATGGGCATGACTTATACAACTTTTTAGAGGTCAGATACGCAATGGCAATGCTACATGCTGAAAATCTAGCCCGGGCATTGAAGTCTTAAAGAAGGAAATAAATATGTATTTTCCAATACAAATCTATATAAACTAAGTGTGTGTGACACCTACCACCCCAGTTCTGGCCAATTCCGACCAATTGGACAAGACTCACACGTGTATGACATTGTGAACATAACAAGAATATGTTCAATGCAACTTCGAAGAAGAAGTTTTAAGACCTTTTGCCTATACAAGTCATCAGTTCAATCTGTGACCCCAAGACAGGGTCATTTCTAAGGTGCAAGTTGTAGAGGTCTACACTGCACGCCAAATACCTAAGTTCTCAGTATAGCAGTTTAATATGTGTATATCTATAAAAACAAAGAAACCACTGAGACGTGATTTATATAAGATGTGTAGAGTACTTCCAAGTGGATGCTTCATGGTAAATATCTAGTATTGTTGTTTCTCAGAAGATTTCATTTTGGAAATATATCTTTATCTCCTTTGACCTGTATATACATCCAACTTGAACCAATTCCACAAATTTTGCTAAGGCTGCCAAATGTTCATTCCTATGAAGTTTGGTCAAAATCAACCAATGAATTAAGTTAGAGATGGTGGTTGATCACAGGGACGATGGACGCACTGCCATCACAAAAGCTCACCTTTGAGCACAGGTAATAAAAACAAGTCACATTCTAAAACAAAATTTATTTCTAAATGACTACATTAATGAATAATACATATAACTTATAAAAGGTGTAAGTAAACATGATATGTAAAATTTTTAAACTATAACATGTATAATGTAACATTTATTTTGTTGTAATGATCCTGAAAGAAAAATTCATTTACTTTATTAAATACTTAAATACTCAAATATACTATGTCAGTCACAAATAATAACAAGTGCTTGACTATTCTCAGTACTTGATATTTTTACTGCCATTTTATATTGACACCATCTACTTTATTCCACAATTACAGTCATTTTTAAATAAATAACAAAACTGCTAAAACATTTTTTATATTTCTAAAAATATTTGGTAAAATGGGTATATTTTATAGTAATCCTGTGAGTATAAAAAAATCTCCATTAATGTAACAGAATACAAATGGAACAAATCTGTTTGAATAACTAAATAATGTAATCATCATTTGACAGAAGTATACAACAATAACATGAGAACAATAATATAAAATAAATATCTTAATTTCCCTCTGGCACTGTATAAATATATCAAAAATATTACCATGATACCTAAACTTTAAACTATTTTTTCTAAGAAGCTAAAGTATAAAATATAAGTCATACATTATATATAAATAGGTCAAGTTCCAAAGTAAACAAGAGCACCACATATACTTGTTAACGCTCGTCTGTTAAAGGCAACAAATATCAATAACCAATTATTTTTTATCAATATTTAAGTTAAAAAACACACATTACTCAAAAAAGTTGTTTTTAAATTAATGTAAATGCCACTGGTATTACAAATGTCATTCTAATCCAGTATTCAAAGTTTTATGTTGACACCTTTAATAAATAGTTTTTAATTCAATAGCAATTTTCACAAAATTTCTAAGTTAAAAAGGGGCATAACTTTAACAATAAAACTTTCAGAATTATGCTCCTTGTCTAAACAAGAGGGCAATGATGGCCCTAGATCACTCAACAGACCCATCAAACTCATCTGAACAATTACCTAGACAAGCATTCTGGCCAAGTTTTATGACAGGTGAGTCAAAATTGTGACCTGACTAGAGTGTTAACAAGGATTATCCATATTTGAGCAGTGTGACCTAGTTTTTAACCCAGGTGACCCATATTCGAACTTGACCTAGAAATCATCAAAACAAACTTTCAGACCAATTTCCAGGATACTTGGATCAAAACAGTAGCCACTAGTGTTAAAAAGATTTTTCTATTTTTAGCTCCGGTGACCTAGTTTTTCATGCAAGATGACCCATGTTCAAATTCATCCGAGCAATTACCTAGACAAGTATCCTGACCAAGTTTAATGATAATTGAGTCAAAAATGTGACCAATAAAGTGTTAACAAGGTTTTTCCATATTTAGGCGATGTGACCTAGTTTTTCATCCGAGATGACCCATGTTCGAACTTGACCTAGAAATCACCAAAGCAAACTTTCAGACCAATTTACAGGATATTTGGATCAAAACAGTAGCCACTAGAGTGTTAACAAGATTTTTCTATTTTTAGCACCTGTGACCTAGTTTTTCATCCGATATGACCCATGTTCAAACTCATACGAGCTATCTAGATAAGCATCCTGACAAAGTTTGATGATGATTGAGGCAAAAATGTGACCGCTAAAGTGTTAACTAACAAGTGTGGACGGACGACAGACATTCAACGATCCTAAAAGCTCACCCTGAGCAAGCTCAGGTGAGCTAAAAAGTATACCTTGATATGATGAACAAGTATTCCATTAAGTTTTATGCTGATATCTTTCATAGTTTTAAAATCATTCTACTTCACAGGCAATTTTGACAAAAAAAAATTGTAAAAAAGTTGTAAAGAGGCATATCTCCAAAAAATAAGGTATTTAATTAAGGTTTCAAAATAGTGCCCCTTGTGTAACAACTGCACTTGTCATAATAAGCAAGTACTTTAAGTTTCATGTTGAAAGCTTTTAAAATTTTAGAGTTAATGCTCTACAATAAAAAGTTTGCATAAGTAATTTTTTGTTTCTTTCTCAAAGAAATGCAGTGTGTTGTATTATAAAGCCATAATAAAGATTCTTGAGAAGTTAAATGGTTGTTTGGAATGTAAATAGAGCCACATAACCTTTTAAAGTGTTTATAACTAATGAAATAAAGCAATTGTGCAGTATTATAAATGAATCTATCAAATATACTTGTGACAGATTATATGTCTATATGCAAATAATTGTCTACTATATAACCATTTACATGTTACTAGTCAAATAACCTGTTGAAAGTATTTGTGCCTAATAATGCAATTTAGTGTCATGATATTTTCTTATATACATTTGACATTTTTTGTTCAGATTTTATTATATCATTTTGAAATCAACTGATTTACATTATTTTATTTATGTCAAAGATATATCAAAAGTAAACAATTTAGCAACCATGTGCTTAATGATGTTTTTTCTTACATAACATGTTACTCAAAAATCAATCAACAACTCACATGCTCTTCAATTCTGGAGGAAATAAAAGTATCTGTATAACAATTAATCTTTTCTTTATCCAATAAAAACTTGAAAAGAATTCATGAAATCTTATTTAATCACAATAAAATTTTAACAGTATACAATTATTTCAATGCTGTTTTTGGAACAGTCAAAACTGTTGCACTGAGGCATCAGGGGTGACATTTGGAACTGTTACAAGAGGCCAAAGGAGGGAAAACAGTTTTACTGTTCCACAAACTCGCATGCAATAAATAACTGTTTTATTACCTAATGCTTTGCAATCAAACTATAATATATACTGCAGCAACATACTAATAACATTTTTACAACTGTTTAAACTGTTTACAGCGGAATCATTCTGACATTTGATTTTCTAAAAAACACAATTATAGCATTATTGAAAATATCTGATGACAGGGGTGAGACTATTAAATTGTTGACCAATCAACAGTTCATTTCATCACTGCGCATGAACATGATTTCAGTGGTTCAATTTAACAGTCATAAACAAGAAGCGCCGCAATGCGACGAAAACCAGGTTTTCAACGGCCAAGTTTTATGTGACAGCAATCAATAGGTCAAAGTGCACTGAAGTTGTTGGGTTGAAGCAGAAAATTCTATTGTAAGCAAATGACCTTGAACTTGCTCCCGCATATCTAAGTAGCAATCCAAAGCTGCCACTCAGCAAGTTTGGTGTCAAAAGGTCAAAGCAAACTCAAGTTATAACATGAAAACTAAATACATTAACCTTGATCACAGACACCTGGGTAGCAATCCCAAGCTGTCTCTTGATATAAGCTACCCATTCATCAAGTTTGGTGTCAAAAGGCCAAATCAAATTCAAGTTATTGAGTGGAAACTGAATTTTATTTTTAGTAACAGTGACCTTGACCTTGATCACAGACACCTGGATAGCAATCCCAAGCTGCCTCTTGATATAAGCTATCCATACACCAAGTTTGGTGTCAATAGGCCAAACCAAACTCAAATTATTGAGCAGAAACTGAATTTCTATTTTTAGTAACAGTGACATTGATAACAGATACCTGGGTAGCAATCCTAAGCTGCCTCTTGATATAAGCTATCCATACACCAAGTTAGGTGTCAATAGGCCAAAGCAAACTCAAGTTATAGAGCGGAAACTGAATTTCTATTTTTAGTAACAGTGACCTTGACCTTGATCACAGACAACTGGATAGCAATCCCATGCTGCCTCTTGATATAAGCTATCCATACACCAAGTTTGGTGTCAATAGGCCAAAGCAAACGCAAGTTATTGAGCCAAAAACTGAATTTCTATTTTTAGTAACAGTGACCTTGACCTTGATCACAGATACCTGGGTAGCAATCCCGAGCGGCCTATTGATATAAGCTATCCATACACCAAGTTTGGTGTCAATAGGCCAAAGCAAACTTAAGTTATTGAGCAAAAACTGAATTTCTATTTTAAGTAACAGTGACCTTGATCACAGACACCTGGGTAGCAATCCAAAGCTGCCTCTTGATATAAGCTATCCATACACCAAGTTTGGTGTCAATAGGCCAAAGTAAACTCAAGTTATTGAGCGGAAACTGAATTTCTATTTTTAGTAACAGTGACCTTGACCTTAATCACAGACACCTGGGTAGAAATCCCAAGTGGCCTCTTTATATAAGCTATCCATACACCAAGTTTGGTGTCAATAGGCCAAACCAAACTCAAGTTATTGAGCGGAAACTGAATTTCTATTTTTAGTAACAGTGACCTTGACCTTGATCACAGACACCTGGATAGCAATCCCAAGCTGCCTCTTGATATAAGCTATCCATACACCAAGTTTGGTGTCAATAGGCCAAAGCAAACTAAAGTTATTGAGTGGAAACCAAAAGTTGATGCCCGCCCGCCCGCCTGCCCGCCCGCCGACTTCGGCATTACAATAACCCGGTTTTCGTTGAAAACCTGGTTAATAAGAAATTAGTATTTATAGAAGGTATTAGGTATTAATACAATCTTAACTCAATGAAATACATAACAAAAAAATCATTGTATTTCATAAATACATGTACATGATTGTATATTTTACAAGATCACCAATATTCTTAGTGCTAGACACAAAAAGGGGGCATAATTCTGCAAACATGCTAAGCAGACATACCTGCTCTTGTTAGTAAAAAATATATCAAGTTTAAAGTGAATAATAAAACAGTTACCTGCTCTTTAGAAATGCATTAATTTTTTCTAATTTAAAACAATTGAACAAGTATTCCAGATAGAAGGGATTAACTTGACAGTTTTTGAGAAACTGACCTATGAAGAAATTTTTTTAAGTAAAATAAGATTCAAGATTCTTTAAGTAACGTAAACAAGTTATGTTTCTTGTTACATGATACAATTAACATATATACATATTACATACATATTACACATGACAAATACAAAAAAAGACATGAATGATTAAACTCACTGAAAACAAGTAAGTATAATGAGCATATACAAGATAATAAGGGTACAACTTTGCAAAAACCAAAAACTTTCAATGAATTTTATGATTATCTGCCATACTGAAATCTTGTCATATTTTGATTGTGAACTAGTATATCAAGTTTGAAGTAAATAACAAAAAGGTTAACCAGTGCTAAAAATCTTTGTTGAAAAAGGAGCACAATTTTGATTAAAAAAATTAAATTAAGATTACCTGCCCTTTTGAAATGGCACCCTTAAATGACAATATAAATGTTCATCAAAGTTTAAAGTGCATAGCTTTTATAGTTTCTGAGAAAATGAACCTTAAAGAAAGGATAACCAACACTGACGCTGAAGGCACAATGAGAGGGTCATGACAAAAACAAAATTTATTTTCCTCGAAAAGTGGAATACATTATGGAATATGGAAACATAAACCTTATTTTCTCTATATGTCTATGGAAATTTTTTTTAACAAAAACTTTTATCTCAACAATATCAAAATTATATGAAATTGGAATCCTGATGTACTACCCTCCATCTTTATTCTGTAAGACTGTTCGTATAACATTTAATAACAGCTCACGTTGAACCTGGGAACCAACGAATGCTGTGAGAGCTTCTAGGCCTGAGCTACCAACAAGTTCTTGTACTTTCTCCACCAAACGTTGTTTGTCATAGTCACTGAGATTTTTTAACACTTTTATCATTGAGCTATATTCATCAGATTTACAGTAGCCAATCACTGAACCTGTAATATATACAATAATAACTGAACCTATACAGTATAATTACAGTAGCCAATCACTGAACCTGTAATATATACAATATAAACTGAACCTTTACAGTATAATTACAGTAGCTTATCACTGAACCTGTAATATATACAATATTAACTGAACCTATACAGTATAATTACAGTAGCCTATCACTGAACCTGTAATATATACAATAATAACTGAACCTATACAGTATAATTACAGTAGCCAATCACTGAACCTGTAATATATACAATAATAACTGAACCTATACAGTATAATTACAGTAGCCAATCACTGAACCTGTAATATATACAATAATAACTGAACCTATACAGTATAATTACAGTAGCTTATCACTGAACCTGTAATATATACAATATAAACTGAACCTATACAGTATAATTACCTTAGCTAATCACATAACCTGTAATATATACAATAACAAGCAATTATCATAGTATTGCAAGCAATCCATAAGTCCCCTACCGGTAAGAGCCCAAGCAAAATTCTGAAGGGCCATTGGCCATTCACTTATGTTCCTATTTTAAGTAAATTTGTTGAAAAAGTTCTTTAAAAGTGATCACAGGAAACAGTTTTTATGTACAGACAGACGGACTGAAGGAACTCTAAAGTTATTTTTTAAACATCCCTGTTATCAAAATATAACATTTTTAAAATCCTATCATGATTGAAGAAGTTGGAGTAAAAATTACCAATTTCTCAAAAAAAAGTCTAAGTTCAAAAGGGGCATAATTCTGAAAATAGCCTTGCTAGAGTATTGAACACTCACAAATGTTGAGTGACAATAACAAACATTTATACGAAGTTTGAAGTAGATACATTCAGAAAAAGAAGTTATTAAAAAAAACAATGTTTTTTTTATGAAAATTTTAAGTTCAAGGGAGGTAATTCTGATAAATTTTGTGCTAGAGTTGTAAACCTTGTCACATATGATGTGGTTGATGACAAGCAACTTTTATTTAAAGTTTGAAGAAAACACCTTAAGAAATAAAGAACTTAGAGTGAAAAAACTTAAAAACTAGAATCAGAAATCTTGAAATTCAGCCTATTTGTTGCCATAGCAACCAGAATTTTCAACATAGGAAGATAAAAAAGGATGTGCATAATTTCCATACTGCCATCTACCCATATGTCAAGTTTCATAAACATATTTTCAGTACTTTTTGTGTTATGACTGGATCCAGGTTATGTGTAAAATTTGCCATATTTTCAGTCTATTTGTTGCCATAGCAACCAGAATTTTCAACATAGGAAGAAAAGAAAAAGACGTGCATAATCTCCATACTGCCATCTATCCATATATCAAGTTTCATAAAAATATTTTCAGTACTTTTTGCGTTATCGCGGGATCCAGGTTATGTGTAAAATTTGCCATATTTTCAGCCTATTTGTTGCCATAGCAACCAGAATTTTCAACATAGGAAGAAAAGAAAAAGACGTGCATAATCTCCATACTGCCATCTATGCATATATCAAGTTTCATTAAAATATTTTCAGTACTTTTTGCGTTATCGCGGGATCCAGTTTTGTGGACGGACGGACTGACGGACGGACAGAAGGACGGACGGACAGACGGACGGAGGGTAAACCTAAAGTCCCCTCCGGTAAACCGGTAGGGGACTAATAACTGAACCTATACAGTATAATTACAGAAGCCTATCACTGAACCTGTAATATATACAACAAGAGGGCCATGATGGCCCTGAGGTCGCTCACCTGTATATAGGCCCCCGGAGCGGGGCCAGTTTAAACCCCAGGGCTTTTATTTGAACAAACTTGGAAGACACCCATTAGATGATGTTAAGTTTTTACTACACACATATAATGAAAAACAATCACCTCTGCACCCCATCCTCTCCCCCCGCCAGAGCCAATTTTAACCCAAGGGCTTTTATTTGAACAAACTTGGTAGACACCCACAAGAAGATGTTTCATATTAAACATCTTACCTCTAGCTCATTGGGTTTTTTAAAAGAAGATTTTTTAAGTTTTTACTATAAAACAATGACACCTCTGGGGCGGGGCCAGTTTTGACCCCAGGGCTTTTATTTGAACAAACTTTGTAGACACTTACTAGAAGATGTTTCATGCTTAATATCTATAATCTAGCTATTTAGGTTTTTTCAAAGAAGATTTTTTAAGTTTTTGCTATACACATGTATAAGAAAAATCAATGTCCCCCGGAACGGGGCCAATTTTGACCCCATGGCTTTTATTTGAACAAACTTTGTAGACACCCATTAGAACATGTTTCATGCTAAATATCTTAGCTCTAGCTCTTCGAGTTCTTTAAAAGAAGATTTTTAAGTTTTTACTATATGCATATAGGGAAAATCAATGACCCCCTGGGGCGGGGCCAATTTTGACCCCAGGGCTTTTATTTGCACAAACTTGGTAGACACTCGTTAGAAGATGTTTCATGCTAAATATCTTAGCTCTAGCTCTTTGGGTTCCCTAAAAGAAGATTTTTTAAAGTTTTTACTATATGCATATAGGGAAAATCAATGACCCCCTGGGGCGGGGCCAATTTTGACCCCAGGGCTTTTATTTGAACAAACTTGGTAGACATTCACTAGAAGATGTTTCATGCCAAATATCTAAGCTCTAGCTCTTTGGGTTTTTTAAAAGAAGATATTTAAAGTTTTTTTCTTTCGGTTGCCATGGTAACCAGAGTTCTGCATGGAATTAATTTCTTTGAACAATTTTTAAAGGTGTAATTGGCTTAGTGGTTTATAAGGAGATGTCATTTAAAGTAAAAGTTTACGGACGGACGGACGACGGACGAAAAGCGATCACAAAAGCTCACCCTGTCACTTTGTGACAGATGAGCTAATAATAACTGAACCTATACAGTATAATTACAGTAGCAAATCACTGAACCTGAAATATATAAAATATTAACTGAACCTATACAGTATAATTACAGTAGCTTATCACTGAACCTGTAATATATACAATAATAACTGAACCTATACAGTATAATTACAGTAGCCAATCACTGAACCTGAAATATATAAAATATTAACTGAACCTATACAGTATAATTACAGTAGCCAATCACTGAACCTGTAATATATACAATAATAACTGAACCTATACAGTATAATTACAGTAGCCAATCACTGAACCTGAAATATATAAAATATTAACTGAACCTATATAGTATAATTACAGTAGCTTATCACTGAACCTGTAATATATACAATAATAACTGAACCTATACAGTATAATTACAGTAGCCAATCACTGAACCTGAAATATATAAAATATTAACTGAACCTATACAGTATAATTACAGTAGCCAATCACTGAACCTGTAATATATACAATAATAACTGAACCTATACAGTATAATTACAGTAGCCAATCATTGAACCTGAAATATATAAAATATTAACTGAACCTATACAGTATAATTACAGTAGCCAATCACTGAACCTGAAATATATAAAATATTAACTGAACCTATACAGTATAATTACAGTAGCCAATCACTGAACCTGTAATATATACAATATTAACTGAACCTATACAGTATAATAACAGTAGCCAATCACTGAACCTGAAATATATAAAATATTAACTGAACCTATACAGTATAATTACAGTAGCTTATCACTGAACCTGTAATATATACAATATTAACTGAACCTATACAGTATAATTACCTTAGCTAATCACATAACCTGTAATATATACAATATAAACTGAACCTATACAGTATAATTACAGTAGCCCATCACTGAACCTGTAATATATACAATATTAACTGAACCTATACAGTATAATAACAGTAGCCTATCACTGAACCTGTAATATATACAATATTAACTGAACCTATACAGTATAATTACAGTAGCCCATCACTGAACCTGTAATATATACAATATTAACTGAACCTATACAGTATAATAACAGTAGCCAATCACTGAACCTGAAATATATAAAATATTTACTGAACCTATACAGTATAATTACAGTAGCTTATCACTGAACCTGTAATATATACAATATAAACTGAACCTATACAGTATAATTACAGTAGCCTATCACTGAACCTGTAATATATACAATATTTTCTGAACCTATACAGTATAATTACAGTAGCCTATCACTGAACCTGTAATATATACAATATAAACTGAACCTATACAGTATAATAACAGTAGCCAATCACTGAACCTGTAATATAAATTACAATATAAACTCAACCACTGTATACAATACAATTACAAAAGAATTTTACTGAACATGTAAAATAAACAATATTAACTAAACATATACAATAATAATAACAGAAGACCTAACCCGTAAAATAAACAATAATGAAGGGACTCCACTGAAGTTTTTAGACATGACGAGACTGGATATAATTTTTAGAGATTAATGTTTTTTTATGTAGGTATACATCAATAACATGTGTGCAAAATTTCAGATCATTTCCTCTATCCTTTGTAATATACCAGATTAAATATTATAATTTTGAAAATAATTCAAAAGTGAAAAGCAATGCTTTTCACAGATCAGGCTAAGAATAATACAAAAATTAAATTTTCAATTGATTTCTAAGTCTAATTCTTATTTATTTTTGGCATATCTTCCTATATAAGTGCCCCTGTTGTTCTATGTATGAATTAATTTTTTTTATGTTTTAAGGCTTTTGGACATCAGTGGAGTAATGTATCTTACCCTAATAAGTATAACTAAAGAAAACAAACTTGACCTGAAAAATATACAATATTAACTGGCTCTGAAAAATATACAATATTTACTGACTCTTTAAAAGCATAGTTACAATATTATACTGACTATGTATAATATCTACTTTTTACTGAACCTATAAAGTAAAACTATGGTACTGTAGTCTTTTACTAAACTGGTAAATGATTCTATATGACTTGTTTATCCTAATACTGAAAATCCTGATGATTAATACTAGACAAGTTATTAAGTAAAGTAATTCACTGTAGTAAGAGTAAAAACATTATTTCATTAACAATAAGTCAAGAAGAAAACAATATCTTACCCACAAATCCACCCACCAGAGCACCTGGTGGTCCACCCACTAAACCACCTGCACACGTACCCCCAGCAGCCCAGGCCATCTGCTTGAAAATACCTTGAAATATATAAAAGTAATCTCATATTATCTAACCAGTCACATTTACAGGTTATAACAATATAATATTACCTATCATTTGAATACATGTGTATAAACTGATTTTGATTTTTACCATTCATTTCAGTAAAACAAGGGAGAATATCATGGACAATTCACAGGAAAATAATATATGCATAGTTTTTCTCCCTTGTAATATTTATTTACATTTTCACTTGGTTTATTCCTTTATAAATCATTATACATGTATATAAATTTCAAGGGCATAGCTAGTGTTATGCACATGTCTAACATACAATTGTAGATCATCTTGAAGGAAAACAAAACTTCAAAATAAATATGTTAAAGACAGCGCAGTGTGAGGTTAGTGGCAGAATTCCAAATTTATTTATTGCAGCTTAAAGTGAAGCCCTGGGTTGTAACACAAATATATATCTATGAAGTATTTAGGTGGCAAGATCAAATACTTGCAACTAGGCGATAGCATTTACATTTATTATAAGTTGAGTAAATCCATAAAACACTGTTCCTGGGCTGGCTGTGAAGCAAAATGCTATAACCTTTATACATACAAGAGCTGAGGTATAATGCAAATGACTGTAGAAAAGATTTCTTGATCAATCATAACAAAAATGTCTAGAATTATCTGGGAATCGAACGCTTGTTGCACGATTCACAGACCAACACTCTACAAATTGAGCTAACCTGATTGTGCATATCATGTGGATAGGGAGATGTTGTATCATTTTTTTAAAGAAATTCTGGATAAGACAAAGACAAGTAACACTTTACAGACATCATACTATCACAAAGGCTCATTTCTCACCACTTTGTACAGGTGAGCTGACAAACAAAAAACAAGAGCTGTTCAGTGTTGGCAGAACAGTGTGCTCATTGCTTGGAAGTGAAAGAAGACCCTGGGTAATGTAGAATGGTTTAAGTTAAAAAAGGGCCATAATGCTGTAAAAATAACATGTTAGAGTTATAGACAGTGACCCCCTATTACACTTTTAAAATTAGTGTGGTTCAATACATTCTCTTCAGTAGTTTAGAAACACAAAAAATCTAAACAAAATGTGACAGGGTAAGTACAATAGCTCCCCATAATAGTCATGCTAAAATTGTAACTGGACAAAAAATATTTTAAATCTGATCTAGATAAGTCCACTTATGGTAACCAGCTCTCCGAATACTTCTGATAAAGTTGTCATTGTCAAATTACCCACTGCTTATACCTTGAAATCTTGTTTCTCACCTTTGCTTGTTTTCTTTAATTCTGCATTTGTTTCAAGAATTTCCATCAGATGTTTGTAATAAGGTATAAACGCCATCCCTGCAAGATTTGCAGCCATTTTTCACTTGCTCTGTCAGTCTGAAATATTCAAAGTTATATAATTATGTACATATTAAACAACAAATAAGTAAAATGACATTTTACTCATTTTTTGGCAGTCAAATTAAGCTGAATTTATTAAGTGAAAAATTAGCTATAATAATGATGATTGACTGGTAATTTATAACGAAAAATGTTAATGAAACAATATAAAAACTACCAAAATTATATAAAGTAATATATATATAAAGACTGCCCCACACTTTTTTCAAGAATTGAACAGGGGCAAAACCTGACTTTTTCTTACCATCAAATCCAAAAAGACTGATGCAGGCCTTTATGAGTGAAGAGTTTTTGAATAATACAATTTGAAAGTTTGGTTGTGAATGTTGTTTTATCCTAGTATTAACTTGAACCAACATATAATAACAAAGTTATGGCAATTTTCATAAAGTAAAATTAAAGATGTCTTAAAAGATCATGAAAGTTTTAAATTATATTCACTTTAAGCAGCATGTTGATGTTGTCTAACATGTTATTAATGTTCAAATAGTAATAATATTTGTGCATAAATTACTAAATGCCTGATGCCTGCCCAGACCAAGACAAAACATCCTTCCCCAAAACCATCTTGTTCAAGTATACAACAGTCAGCATTACATTCATTTCATCTAAAGTGCACACAGCCCCTGCTATGACTTTTATGAATGGAAAATCTCGACTTGTAAGAGAAAAAAACACTATTTCATTGTTGCCATATCCAGTGTTAGTCTCAATATTTAGACTGCAAGACCGACCAATTCTACATTCTGATATTACATACATGTAGATGTCTGTCTGCAGGCAACCATTGTCTATATAATTAATAGCGCTAAAGCCCACAACTTGTTGGGCTAGCGATGGTGTGTTCATGCCCAATTAACATGATTTAAGTGGTGATGCAGCATCAATAAACCACCAATGTAATAATGATGTCCACCCTCACTTAGACAACTGTGTACAGTTTGGGTAGATATTCAGTTATTAAATGTACCAAGAGTGTAAGAATTACTGGCAGTTCGAAAAATGACATGTAGGTGTTTCTTTGTAATGAAGGTTTTGAACATGCATTGAGACATGCAGCTTATACTACATGGTAAATCTTCCATAATTATGTCCTATTGCTTGGTACTTTTAACTAATATATCAAATAGGAGTTCAAGTGGTTTTGAGCAAACTACTGGTTCAGCAAACTTTATTTATTTAGAAAAGCCTGCAGTATACTGTCATGGTTCAGAACTGACCATTTAGGAAGAAGATGTGTAAGGGGCTGAATAGCTCAGTCGGTAGAACCAAGGTACAGTATTCAGAGGGTCCTGGGTTCGAGTCCCGTTCAAGCTGCACATTTTTCTCACCCTTTTGAGAAACCATGGATTACAAAGAAAGCAAGAACAAAACATATAATAACCAAATTGATTGTCTGAGTATAACGTTTAACATATGTATCTTCAATGTATAATAAACATATGAAACATGATAAATGTATGAGGCATATGAGGTTTTTCACACGTGTAGCTAATAAACAGCTAATTTAAAGCAATCAATTGTGAACAGCATGCTACTTGATTAAACGTCTCACTCTTTAATTGGATGGATATCACTATAAATAAGTATTTTTCAGACAAAATAATCATGATAGAACAGAGCATATATACTTTATTTCTGACTGGGGCTTAACACACATCATCACAACGAATATCACAACATACATATACATGTCTATTTATTATAATGCATGCACCAAGAAATCATGATAATATAATAAATTCAAACAGTTATATTCACACAATTATACAAAAGGTTTGTACATGTTTTTTTTATAAAGGGGACAGTTTGAGAATTTACGCTTATATATGATAGCCATCAATTAAATCTCAAATTATACATTCATATATGTTATAAATATCTAAATTGTCTGTGTGTTCTGTATCCACTCATATGCGACAAATCAAATTAAGTTTGAACAACACATAATTTTGTACCGTCACGTTTAATCAGGTAGCACTTAGTTCACACTTAATTACCGTTAATTGCATCACGCATTCGTTAATCCAGTAGCATTGCATCTCTTTTTATTTTTTATCAATAATCTATAATTTAAATCAAAAACTACTCTTTTAAAAAGTTGAATTTAGAAATAAATTTTTATCTTTTACATATTTTTAAGTATTTATAGCTGTTAGTCACAAAAATAACTTTAGGGCCGATTTGACTAGTTTTGAGGCCGATTCGACTAGTTTTAGGGCCGATTTGACTAGCTTTGGGGCCGATTTGACTTTTTAAAATTGTTGTGTGGCCGGTTTGACTAATTTTGAGGCCGATTTGACTAATTTTGGGGCCGATTTGACTTGGGGCCGATATGACTTGGGGCCGATTTGACTGGTTTGCATGTGGGGCCGTGACTGGATATAGCTCAGAGTTTAATTTACATTGCTATGTAACTCTGTGAAATAAAGGATGAATGTCTTATGTTGTTTCATACTGTTTTGGTGACACTTTTGCTTGTGTCCCTTGTTGTTTTCTCGTCTACGGTAAGTATCTTCCCCATTGCCTCTAGTTTTTATTTCTTTGATTACTCCCCACCCCCTCCCCCGGTCTCCTGTCCCCTTCCCCTTTGTGGGCCTATTTTTATTTTCTTTGAATTCCTAATCAGTTACAAATTAATTATCATTTAATGATTAACCTGTCCGTGCTGTCTTTGCCCTGTCCTGTTTTTGTTTGGGGTCCCCCTGGGCTCCTTGCCATTGGTTCTTGTTGCTGGGTCATGTGGGGGTTGCGTTCATTGAACGCCGCCTTTCCTTGTTGATCTTGTTTATCATATTCAATATAGCAGGGGAATATGTCAGAGGTTAGAACTATCACTATTTAGGGGAGAAGATATGTAAGTGGCCAGATAGCTCAGTCGGTAGAGCTGCGGTATGGTATTCCTAGGGTCCCGGGTTTGATTCCAGGTCATGCTGCACATTTTTCTTACCCTGCTACAATACTAATTACTATACTGTTATATAGATTTAGTTTGCTGAAACCAAAACTTTAATATTTTATTATATTATAGAACAGTAGTAGTTCTGGCTTCCATAACTTTATATGTCGCTTTTATTTTGACGTTGCGACAGTAACAGGTCTAGCAATACTATAAAACCTGTTCGCTGAAGTATCTTTAGCTAGAACAGTAGAAGATACTGTAACTTCCCATTTGTTTACTGTTTACTGTTTCCTTGGAGTATTGTAAGCACTTCTGTGCCATGATTAGGTAGTTAGACAAAACCACTTTGCCCTAAAAAAAATGGCTAGAACCGCTGGTGCCAAAAACTATCTTGATAAGCAACCTGATTTGCGGCCACAGATTTGTTCATTTCAATCAACCAGAAAAAAATCTTACGGTGATAACGACTCTGGAAAAATATCAGCAAATTACGCAGTTTCATCCGAACATTAAGCCACTTTAAATATGGGAAAGGGTAACTCAATTACAGATTTACACTTTATCGTTGTCATCATAAAGGAAAGCGGTATAAGGCCTCAGACCACAATTAATTTCACCAAGTATGTTCACGGATTTATATAAATCCGTGGTATGTTCTATATAAACCATGTGGCAATTTTACTAACTCTCCAACAAAATCAAAGTCACTTGTGCTTACAGTATCATCCAAGATAAATAATTCCAGCTAAAGCAAACTTGGGGTCATGCGGCATTTTTTCACAGCATTTCAGTCTGAAAAATACATCAGTCTGATATTTTTCAGTAATCGGCCAGAACCATGTGAATCATGTCATGTAGAAAAACCACTCAAAAAATACTTATTCACAAAAAAACGGAATTAAAGTTGGCAATTACCAGCTGCTGTTTGAAATGAACTTTGTCAGAAAATGTCTTTTTTTTCTATCTCTTTCAGTCAATATTATTCATTTATATCTGGCATTAACACGGGGGAGGAAGTGTTACACGAGGGATGGAGTTCTTACTTATGATAACTTGTCAAGGAGTTCTTGTGATAACTGTCACGGAATTCTTCGGAAAACTATTGTATATACTGCAAAAACACTCGTCAGAAATGGTAATTTTCATCTTTAAAAAGTGAGTTTTAGGTGCTAAATAAATCTTTAATGATTAAGCTTGCCTTACATATTGCATTATGTGTCAAAAACTAATTCATGGTCCATTTTTCATCGCCTCTTGCATCTGGTAGTTTTTAGTAAAATTTCCAAATTAGGCCATTTCTCAAGTTTTGGCCTGTTTATTTCAAGTATTCATCTTTGCCATACATAATTACCTATTGCAAACATAAAGCCCCGGCTAACAAATTTGTACTCGAATGTCCCGGAGTTCTTGTGATACCTCAAAATATGTCCTGGGGTTCTTATGATAACTTTTGTTACTGCCAATGTGTTTCTTGCGCTAAATCACGGCACGTTTTAGCGTTTTTTATTATTCAGTAGATGTCATCTACTGATCAGGTGCAATGATCTTTCTGGGTTATATAAACCATGGCTTATCCCTTCTAAATTATTCATCAGACAAGGATTTTACCTTATAGGCTAGCTATCTACTGTCCATGGGCAATTGATGTCCCTACTTATTCCTTCTCATGTTATCGTATAAACAAGGTTAACAGGCCGTAGTACGTACAAACAGACCAATTCGATAATAAAATTGTCCCAACAATAAAGGGCTAAAGTTGAGTTCACACTAAAGGTTACACAAAGTGCACTAGGGGTGCACTAGATGTGCACTACCAGTGCACTAGATGTGCACTTCTTGTGTACTTCATATATAAGTGCACTTTGTAGTGCACCAGACCTATTATATGTATTAAGCAGTTATGAATAGCAATTTGACTTTTACAAAAAGATAGATAAATATAGATATCTGTATAATAGTTTTTATAATGAATTTGAAGTTGTGAATATTGGATTTTGTAAAATATGGCGTAAAATATTAGAACAATAATTTTTCAAAGTCATTAATTTTACTGATTTTGTACTTTAAAACTTAATTGTTAGAATTAATAAGTAAATATAAATAATTATAACTTTAATGTTGATAAGTGCATAAATAAACAAAATTAATTGATATTTAATATGTTTCTGTTTTATGATAATCTGGTAATGGAATATGAAACATTGAAATCTTAATTAAACAAAATTCATTTTTTTGGTGGGTGGGGGGGGGGGGGGGTTGGGGCAAATTATACCAATTAGTTAATTTTGATCTTAACTTAGTTGTTTTAGTTAAAGGTAATGATTTTAAGCATTAATAGCCTTTAATACATTGAAGAATTAATATGTTTATAATTGGCCTAAATTTTGTCAATTTATCTCATTTATAATCTCTCTTACCTACTCAAACTGAGATTTACCTAAGATCTATTTAAATGATATATATTATTCTGAAAATAAATATCTATATATAATGGTGGTATGTGTGAAATGTGGATTAAGTATTGATATGTGTGGATAAAGTATTGATATGTACCTGTGGGACATTAGTATACTTAAACTGACATGGATATTAACAAAAAGGTTAGAAAATCTTTCAGTTCCATTTTTTGAGACAACATCTTTTTTTCTTTTTATCATGCATTGTAACATAATTATGCAATATGATTATTTTATGAGTTTATTATAAAATGCAAATATATTTCAGTTTTCCTTTTGTACTACTTGTAATGAAATTTATTGCACCAACATCCAGAGAAAACAGAATTTACATTGCCTACTTATATTTATCATCTGCCTTTTGTTATTTACCCTGAGCGGCTCTCTTATCAGCAGGGTACTATATTAAAACACCAGTACACAGCATGACTTTTGACACTTTAATCTTCTGTAACTGTTTTCTGCTCATGTATGATATTTTATTTTAAGAAAAAACCAGATCTGCATTAAAGTGAAAAGGAAGTTGCAAAAGTTTTATAATCATGTATTTAAATATTTTCTTTAAAATATATAATATCTTCTAAATGTGTTAAAACTGACAAGGCAAATTTGTCAAATCTATAACAGAAAAAATTAACATTTCCCAGTTCAGAAACTAAAAGATGCTGCAAATTTTAATGCAGAATGGCAAGAAATGTGGATAAATATTGATATGAGGTCTTTCCAAAATAGTTAACACTGATATTGATTTTAAACCAGTTTTTTATGATAAGATTAGAAAATTCCACTTCAAAGACAATAATGACAATATAATATCTAGCTTCTAGGCCCCATGTCATGCTCTGGTTGAGTTCAGGTCCACGATAGAGTGGGCAGAGACTTTCAGTTCCGGTTGATTTTAATATCATTTGAATCTTAGGTTTTATGTAAATGGGAGCTCTGAAAAACTACCTTTTTTCGAAGATTATAATAAAGGGAAATAAATAAGTTAACGTATTTTAGGAAATTTATGGTAGTTATCCTTCTTTATGTGACATGACTTTTTAGAAGCATAGCAATGCTAATGTATATGGAATTATTGTCACTTTCTTTCTTTTACAAGATCTTGTTTTTTTGTATTTATACACACATTAATTTTAAGCTTCTTCAATTATTAAATATAAAGATCCTGTGATGAGAGTAGTATTTTGATCAACTATCTCGTTAGGAGACATGAAATGTGGTTTATTTTAATGGAGATAATCCTTGTCTGCGATGTTTATAAATAAATAAATATACCTACCATATATGTTAACACAATACTTTTATATAATATTTTTCTACTCTTTATTCAATAACTATCCACGTGAAGACCTAATTTGTTGTTCGCATACATTTTTCGTTTAGGTTATCTTGCTGGAAAACTATTGGAGGACAGGATAAAAAAAAAATAAACTGTATATAAATGAAAGTAAAATCATCTCAAAAACCATCCGTTCATAATTATTATATAATGTTATTATAAACCATTGTTTTCTTCTAACGTTCTTTTTATATTCTCTCATCAACTTCAAAATTTATACTATAAAGGTTGTGTGAAAATCTTATGTCTCCTTTTGTTTAATCTTATGTCTCCTTTTATTTAATCTTATGTCTCCTTTTTGATCTTATGAAATGTTTAAAGATTTATTGTATGATGTGTATTTGCATGGTTATGTATGATTATATGATTGTATGTTTCGTTGATTGTTTAATAAATGGGGTTCCACATATGTGGATCTGAAGCAAAAAAAACAACAAAAAAAAAACAAAACAATATAATATCTAACATGTGTGCATGCCATTATGATTATTTTTTACATTTGATTATACAAAAATTATAGTAATTTATCTATGTCTTAATGTATTTTGGGGAAAAAAAGGAAATTTTAAATAAATATTGCAGACATCTTCATTTTTGTTATTTACCCTGAGGCCCTCTAATCAGCAGGAGACCAGTATAATGAAACAGTCGCTCTCAGAAAAATACCAATACACAGCATGATTTGAGACTTCCCTTTTTCATAAAAGTATTCCCTTTATACATTAAATTTTTAATGTAGAAATCTTGAATAAAGTTATCAATTTTATTTATAAAATGGATTTTTTTTTAAATTATTTATATCTTTAAAAAGTATTTCATGGTTGAAAAACATAAAATCACAGTGAATGGATTGTTTTAAAATCAATGAATTGATATTCTCTTTCAATCTTGAACATGAGGAATTGCCTCTTAAGTTATATAATATTATGCAGAATGGCAATACATGTAGATAAATGGATAAATATAGAAAATGCCGCTTTAGAGACAATAATAACTAATATGCATTTATGCCATTATGATTTTTTTATATTTGATAATACAAAAATTATGGTCATTTATCTATATGACTTACTAGCTTGGGTTCCAAGGAAAATGTCGAACATTCATTTTGAAAAAAAAAAACACAAAAAAAACGAGGAATTTCAATGCATATTTATCATCTGCAAAATTGACTGTTCTTTGTTATTTACCCCAAGGCCCTCTTATCAGCAGGAGAGTGGTATAATGAAAACAGTCCCTCTCAGAAAATACCAATACACAGCATGACTTGAGATTTTCCTCTTCAATAAAAGTATTCCCTTTATACATTAATTTTTTAATATTGAAATCATGAATAAAGTTATCAAATTTATTTATTTTATGGATAATATTTTAATTATTTATATCTTTAAAACGCATGCAAGCATTACACAGTTGAATACTAAATTATCACAGTATACTGATTGTTTTAAAATCAATATATTAATATTGTCTTTCAATATTGAACATGAGGAATTGTCTCTTAGTTATATATTATAAAAACAATATTTAAGCTTAAAGATAAACCTTTCCTTGATTTGTTTGAGCTTATGAAAAAAAGTTTATGTTGTTACAAACTAAATTAATTGGGCCAGAATTATCAAATTGATTTTCCCATTTGTACTGTACACTAGAAAAATTGAAATACATGGCCATTTAAAAAAAGCTTTAAAAACACTTATTTAATTATCCATTACGGAATATATTTAAATTTAACCTTATTGATTCTAAAAAAAAATATTTTAAGGGGTATTATTTTACACTAACAGTTAAATACTGGTTAATAAAAATATGATTACAATAAATAACTTTTTTTAAGCTTTAACATGATATCACCTAAAACTGCTGATTTTAAAATTTACTTATTTACATTCATGAATAGGCCATAATTATATTCCCAAAGATTTTTTTTCTTACAGCAGCTTAACATTAGATGCCCCCTGCCACTTGATATGCAATTATCCAATAAACCATTTAGGTGTTCCTATATGTTAATTCGATGGGGGATTTTGACCTACGTGTAAATTTGATGGGGGTGGGGGGTGGGGGAGCTTTACAAATAGTATTTACAGAATTTATAATATTTTTTATTTTGCCTTCTTCGGCTATAAATGTTGAATCAACATTTTTTCTCCGTTTCATTAGCATCTTACCGAGACGATTTAAACTATTAAATCCCTCTGAAACATAACTGTCACTTGCTTGACTATGATTAAGGTGCATACGTATAAAATTGCATTTTATCATCTGATAAAATAACATTTTAAATAAAAACATTTTAAAGCAAGTACGTAAGTGTATACACGTAAGTGTATAGACACGCCGCAGTTCAAAAAATGCATGGAATCATTTGTTATATTTCGTAATGACCGTTCCTTTAACTAGACTTAACTATATAATGAATAAAATATATTTCTTTTAAGATGTAGGCGCTTTATTCCTTGAATTTTATCTTGATAAACAGATTCAAAAGTAAACTGCGTAATCGTCTTGTCACAATTGTATGTAAATGAATGAATAAACAACGTTTAACATACAACATGATATCCGTTCCCATAAATTACGTCAGTTTGTAACGCACTGTCCATGCATGTAACGTTTTTTAAATAAATTTATCTTATCTTTATAAACTCATAATACCTGCTCTTCAGCATTTATACGCTTTATATATGAGGATAGATACGCTTTATATATGAGGATAGAATTAAATTATTTAAAAGAGATAGGTGTATTGTAAATGATCTAAATAGGTTAAGAAATTCTGCATACAGTTTTATTAGCTTTACTATTTTATATATCAAGACAGAACTATGAAAATTGTAGCATTACATTCTGTTTTGTTTTTGTATTTAATCATATGTTTGATACATGTAATGCATGGATTACAAAAACGAAGTCATATTTCAAGGAATATCTTATTTAATAACGCAGAAAAAGGTAAGTTACTGTAACAAATTTGTCTATTTTTAAATTATTATAAAAACGTTGATGTTATTGTTAATCATTTACGATATTTATTCAGGTACTCTTCACTCTATTCAGTTAAAACTTCTATACCGCCCGCTCAATAGGGTGACATTGAGATAAGTAATCCAGGGCCGCCGGTTCGATCATCGGGCGAGGCGAAATTTCTCCCTTACAATTTATCTCCAACATTGGGTCTAGTGGTCATTTGATCGCTGACCAAGAAAGCATATGGGATTGGTGGTCGCTCACTAACTGAGAAATTGGTATTTAATTACTGGTTAGTTATCCAGAAAATCAAATAGGTTTATTGACCTCCGAGACATGACCAAACAATATTCGGAGAAAACTATCACAAGAAAAACAAAGAAATAATAAATTGGACGAACTAGTACGTTCAAATATCATAATTTTATGCATTATAGTACACATTACATGAGAAAGAACACAAGTTTGAAAAGTCAAAACACGAATGCATCTCTGTAATGATCAAAACCTTCATTTTTCTCTGGACAATCAAAACCACTGTTGTGCTACGAGTAAACATAATTATGTAAACGAGAACAAAATGTCAGAAACCTTAATATATAAATCACAATTCGTCTTTAGTTGAGATAAAAATAGTTGATTTTCAAAAAAACATGTATTTTTGCAACACTGTTGTTGTTTTTGTAGTTTAAGACAAACAAAAAGTCACTGTTGCGTATAACATTTATAAACAATAATGATCCAGTTTTAGAATAATCAGTGGAGGGTAATACATTTGTTTTAAATTTCGAAGGTTAACACGTGGATTATTTCATTGAATTGGTAATTTCATGAAACCTTTTGCATTGTTTTACCTAGATTTATAAAATGGTATTCACGTTACTTATCGTAGAAACTTTTGGATTTGAATATAAATACGAGTTCATGTATCACACAAATTATTTCTTTATAAACAAAAACTTTTCATTTCATTTAAGATGGAAAGTATTGGGAGACTTTAGGAATCAGTCAAATAAAAAAGGCAGCCTCCCATGTACCGAACAAAAATTTAGCAAAGAACATTATCTTGTTTATTGGAGACGGAATGGGCATTTCTACAGTCACAGCAGCAAGAATTTTAGGAGGCCAGAAATTGGGAAAGCCAGGAGAAGAACATATCTTAAACTTTGAACAGTTTGAAGACGTTGCCTTGTCTAAGGTAATCATTTGTATAGAGAAAATAATCGCTAATTATATTTTCAAATTAGCTAATAAAACACAATTTTGCTTCATTGACGATGAAACTTTAACTTAGAAAATTTAGAGCTTTATAAGATAAACGTTTTTGATCACCGTTGTGTCATATCATATAATGTGCATCCTGTACCAAGCGGCTTTACGTCGCTAAGATTGGATAACATGATCTTCAGAGAGCTCGATTGAAGCCTGTCATTGACATCAGATTCCTATTTTGATTTTGAGGAAACTTTTAGCTAGCTTACGGCAGGTTATTAGATTTATCCACCCCTCCTCATTCCACCGAAAATAATCGAACAACAAATTAAAGTTCTTAACAGCCAAAGAAACAGCCAGAAAGAAAATCAATTACAAATCAAATATGTAACAATAGCTATAAATGTCATGCCGATTAACGAGACAAATATCATGTTAAAACTTTATTATTTACAATTTTAGACTTACATACTGGATAGGACGACTGCAGACTCAGCTGCATCAGCGACTGCTCTTCTCTGTGGTGCGAAAACAAATTACCTTATTGTTGGTATGGATGGTCAAGCAGTATACAGCAACTGTAGTGAATCAATTAGAAAAAGCAAACAATTAGAATCTGTTTTGGACTGGGCACAAGCTGCAGGTTAGTGCAAATGGAGTTTACTTACTCAACGAATTAAAATATACAAAGGAGCTTTCTGTATTAGTTTTTTTTTAATATCAAAGAATGGCATAAGCACAGGTTCGAGTCATATTGAAAACGCTGTCAAAATGACAGAGCAAATAAATAATGATGATTTTGCTGTAATGTACACTTTGTTTAATGGTAATGAAACTCATAAAAATAACATTGATAAAATGCCAGTTCTGAAATATTTATCGTTTCGTCAATTATTTTCAATCTAGGTAAAAGAACCGGAATTGTTACTACAGCTCGGATAACACATGCGACACCCGCTGCGGCCTACGCCAAAACACCAAACCGAGACTGGGAAGGAGATTCTGTTATGACAAATGATGACACACCGTGCAAAGATATTGCAAGGCAGTTGGTTGAGGATAATACAAATATAAATGTGCGTATGTTAAATTAAGATGTTTTGTCATATTTCAATACATGTTTTGAAAACAAATCTATGGATGGTTCAAATCATTGCACAGTTTAACATGTTTGACGATTTGACATATTATAATGATATAAAGGTTCAAATATATTTTCTAGCTTATATGGATTTTTTTCTTTTATTGATACAAACGCGTGTAAACACAAATTGACATCTTATGTTGCTACTATTATGGGCCATGTAAAATGCTGAATTTAATTTAACAAAGTTACAAATATAGACGTCAAATATTTGTCCGATGTCTGTTACAAACGCTAATGCAAAAATGTAAAAAGAAGAGCAAGGTTATATTGCTAATATGGCAAATAAGAAATTTATGTGAACTTCTGTAGAAGCTAGTGGATTATTAGAAATGAATACGTTGATTTGTAATAAAACAGGTGCTTCTTGGAGGAGGTAGACAGTTTTTCATACCAAATACCATGATTGACCCTGAATCTAACAAGACTGATCAAAATCAAAGGCAAGATGGCAGAAATCTAATCACTGTAAGTAAACTTAAACAATTTTTTACATGAACTAGTTTCCTTTTTTAATTGACATATGAAAAATGTTCCATATTTGACATAAAATGTAGAATTTAATTTTAAAACTGTTAATGATGAACAGTCAGTAAATATTCAAGGGTTCTAATTCCATGATGTTAGTGGATACGATAACTGCCGTTAAACAAAATGATGACAAATGATGCACAGCGAATCAATTTTTATTCACAAATAGTATCAACGAGTGTGTTGATGTTAATTTGTTTTGATACTTTAATGTAATTGGGCATTGTTTCATCCAATTCTAGGAATGGATGAAAGAGAAAGCACAACGTAATGTTAGTCATAGTTATGTATGGAACAGAGACCAGTTTTCGACCATTGATGCAAGCAACACTGACTATCTACTAGGTATTACTGAATTGAATTTATTATTATTATTTTTGTAAAAGCCCCTTGTTTTGGGCCGATATAAACGTGTTTATTGTTTAAATTTCCCATATATAAAATGTTTGGGTTAATAAAAAAAAGGGTAAATACAAAAATGAAATTGGAAAACAACTTTTAAAATTTTAATTTTGCTGTTTGCCAGTCTAGAAAAAAGGGTCACAGCATGTTAAAATATTCGTTTTTAATCTTTCGGAAAATAATAAAAGACAATCCCGAATCATTCTGAAATTTTAAAAATAAAAATAAAAAGGGTGCGATGAATATGAAGTTTAGATTTTTGTTTTAAATTCCCAAAAAATCAAAAATAAGTCAAGTGTAATTGTAGTTTTATATATCCGATTTTGAATCCTGACAGGACTGTTTGATCCAAGTCATATGGATTATGACATAGATAGAACATCCCATGGACCATCAGGGGAGCCATCGTTGGCTGAAATGGTCACAAAAGCCATAAACATTCTAAACAAAGGCAATGAAGGTTTTTTCTTGCTCGTTGAAGGTAAGTGTTAGATGGTAAAACACAATAATAATAATAATAATAATAATAATAGTAATAAAAATCATCATCATCATCATCATCGTCATTAACAATGACCATAATAAAAAAACAACATAATGATGATATTATAGAAATAAATTAATAGTAATAAATATGTAGATCTACATACACAACTGTCAAACCACATCCCTATAAAAACGTATACTGTAAATACTGTATAGCTTGTTGTTATCATATTTTCAGGTGCAAAGATAGACCACGGGCATCACTCAAATCGACCAGAATTAGCACTCAATGATGTATTAGCGATGGATAACGCAATTAAATCAGCAATCGGCGAAACCGACTTCAACGACACTCTAATTCTTGTAACGGCTGATCACTCCCATGTCCTCGACATAGCAGGTTATCCAAGCAGAGGCTCTAACATTCTAGGTATTCTGAAGAAGAAGAAGAAAAAAACACCATTAAAAACCATAAAATATGACAGTTTACATCATTACAAATAGGTCTTGCAATATTTCACAAACCCTCTCGTCTGGCTTTCAAAAGTTTGTATTATATGTTCACTGCTCTTGGGAGAAATATCTCATATAAAACAAATATTCTGTTAATTTTTAAAGCAATCAGTCATTAGCGCCAACGTTTTTGATAAAAACGGATAATTATTATTATTATTCATTTTTTTAATTCGAAGGTCTAGCTGAGACATTTGCCGGACCAATCCTAGCTGAAGATAAAAAGCCGTATACAATTTTACAATATAGCAATGGTCCAGGATATTCAATGTATAGAAAAGACCTTACTGGTGTGGATATGTGTAAGTTGAATTTAAGTTGACATATATCTTAGTATCTGATAAATGAAAGTTTGATTACATTTCTTTAGAACATGGTACCTGTCGTAGTATTTGATATATTATGTAAGTTTATTTGGTGTATGATACCTGTCGTTGTATAAAATGTTCTGCTCAACAGTGAAAAACATTCAAAATTCTTTCACCTAGATACGTGCTATTCTTTAAATATAGGTTATTATACCCATACAAAATTTCTTAAAGAGATAAAATAAAAACACATTATAATAAATCCTTAAATTGCTTTTCAGCTGTTGGTGCTAAAAGATTTCCTTCTGGTATACCTTTATCATCGGAAACACACGGTGCCGAGGACGTGTCAGTGTATGCAAAAGGACCCATGTCTCATCTTGTGCAAGGTGTTCAAGAACAAACCTACTTCGCCTATGTAATGGCATATGCAGCATGTATAGGACCATATTCCACAGGTGTACTCAAAGCGGAGTGTTTGGAAGATCGGACTTGAAAAATACTTAGTTTAAACAATATTTTATTTATAAATATAACATTTATATGATAAATGACAAATAATAAAATTTTTGCTTGAAAAGCCTTTTTAGAAAGTCTATCCGTTAGCATTGTCTCAAAGAGTATGTTAAAACGGTAACAATTATATAGGCATTTTTGTATTAAATATACATAACAGTTTTATGAAAAAGACTTAGAAGCGTTTTGATCACACCGTTTTTATTTATATTTTATGTATACTTTTAGAAATAACGAATAGCATATTATGTAAAGATAAATACAGTTTATGGTATAAAAATATATAATTTTTTACACAGGAACATTGCAACTAATAAGTTTCTCCTTCAATGTCAATTAACCGAATCTAGTCTCTGTGTTTTTTGGTGTATGGATATTGAAAGTATAGAACATCTATTTTGGAACTGTCAAATGGTTCAAATATTTTGGAATAATCTATTCAAATGGCTAAGTGAAATAGCAATAAATGTAACGTATGATAATTTTACGTTTCATCTTCTCAAAATATTACATTTATACCAGTAAATTAAAGAATCAAACTCCAGACATAAGTATCATTAAAAGAAAATTTTCTTTTGAATTGAAAATTGAATTATTTGTTGCATTACAGAATGATACATTAGAAGACTTTGAAAATTGCTTGATAAATCAAATTGATTTGTTTAATATGTAACAAAAAAAACATGCATGAAGAAATGTTACCTTTTCTTGTGTATTTACAGAAATGAACCTCTTAACTTTATTAAATGTCTTTAAAAATTCCTGACTTAAACATCACAAAAATGTTAATTATTAATTATCTACGTATCAATTTTAATGCTATAGTTACAAGTTTGTTTGTATGTATGCATTCTTTTCTTGAAATAAACGGGCCTTTAACTAGGTTCCAAAAAATTAGCTCTATGTGTCCATCTTGGAAAAGCATAACCCTCTTTTGTTATGGCCTCTTAAAATAAAGAACGTAATCTCAAACCTCTTCAAGTATCTCTGAACTTCTTCTGTTAAGTTTAGCCAATGAACTGATTAAGCCATATAGCTCTCACATGACATTGAAGTACCTTCAGGGTGCAATTACCTGCTTCAAGGTTTTTTGTTTCAAATATTTATTTTTATTAAGACCTGTTAATAATGTATTTACAGGACTTGTAAATGTAACAGTAATTTGTATGAAACTTCGCTGAGTAATAAAATATGGAATGTAAATAGTCACTCCTTTTCATTGCTTCATTTGACAGCAGAACACATGTCTGTCAGGAACTAAGCTTTTATGCACACAAGTTGATGACTTCTGGTCAAAAATAAACAGCTAATGAATGAATAGGTTGGGTGTGAGATTAGGTACTTACACAATGCAATACAATCTTGCACAGTATGCAGTCACCTCGATTCAACATTATAGTTGTCTAATGTTTATGTTTCCGTTTTAAGGTCCAATTGGTGCACGTAGGTCGTCTCGGGCACACTTCATTGCATCATTTTTCTTACAAGCATGGCCATTATGTGAAGTAAATGATTGCTAGCCATTACTCTAGAATTAAGTAGACCCAGAAGAAGAAGTTGGTAGCTGCATATAGTAACCAGTGTCTTTCAAGTAAAAGACCCACAAAGTTTTAACATAAACTCTCACTTAACATGTTAACATGGAGCTAAATTTGTTATGTTAATTCGGTATTTATTTCATTATTGATTTATGATCTATCATAATGCAGGATAAACGTTATTATTAAGACACTCGCACACTTGTGCACACTGCCACCCGTACTTGGTAAGTTTTCAAATTTTAGTGTTCTGACACCCTTGCAAATTTTACATTAAGGATAAACGTTATTATTAAGACACTCGCACACTTGTGCACACTGCCACCCGTACTTGGTAAGTTTTCAAATTTTAGTGTTCTGACACCCTTGCAAATTTTACATTAAGTCATTCTAACGAATGCGCATATGTCAACAAGAAAGGGCGTAAATAATGAAACAGCTCAAGTAAGTAAGTATTTATTCTATCATAATTAAATTTTTAAAAAAGGTCTGATTTCACATAGCGAGCAGAAATATCCATTACACGGCATGGTGCTGAAAGGAAATCGATGTCATACTCGTAGTTTATGTGGATGGAATTATATACATGACAAGTTTCTCGTGCACAACATTGCCACTTTAAAATTCAACAAAAATTACTGTTTTAAAACGTAATGAAATTCTGTTTAAATTTGTTTACGTGTTAGACACTAAAACATATCATACTAATATTGAAAACAAATTAAGACTTGTATAGGCAAATAAGATTGGTTTTAGTTTTAATCAGGGGTTGGGGCGGTAGTAGTCCTATAAAGTTTTCCAGCTAGCTTATAGAAAGGTGGTTCTACTTAGTTGCCCATTTGTGCCTAAAATAATACAGGGAAGGGCATCTGGGATCTTTCTCTACCAGTAAAGCTGGAACGTCGCCTTATGACCTATACTGTGCCGGTCAGACGTAAAACCCAATTAAACAAACAAACATTAGGGCTGGGGCGAGTATTCGAGTACACGTCAGAAGCTATTGACTGGAAACTTTATAGAACGGTGGATCCTACTAAGAAGTGCAGCGCATAAGAACTTGTACTATTTTTGAGTTATTGCCCTTTTTATACTGATGTAACATTGTTACAATCAGTTCAAATGACACTAAAGTTAAAGTTATGTCTTCAATGCAAGAGCAGTGTTTATAAATAAACTATAGTTAAGAAGAAAATGTCCAACTGACAGCTATACTGTTGACATTTAGGAGACACAGCGGACTAGCAGAGTTCTAGATGAACTTAAAAAAAATTTAGTATTAAGTTTTGCATCCAACATCAATCTTGAAATATAATAAAGATACTCACTTGCACTTTGAGATCATAACCTGAGGTAATTATTTTCCAAGGGGCATAATTATGAAATGCAATTTGAATGAATTATGTCCATTTTAAAACCAAGAAAATTCTTGATTTATACTGTTTTGCTTGCAACAATAATATCTGTCAAAAACCTACTAAAGCAGTTTTAAAGATATACTATGCTCAAATTTGATATTAGTAAATATTCCGACATAATAGCTACAAGTCTCTTTGAAAATATTAAATACACCTGTTTTGACTTCACACAAAGTTACGTTATGTTATGTTACATTTTAAATTCTGCACACTATTAGTGCTCACAATATGAAAATATAGTGTTATTAAAAAAACTGGCAAGTTTTTTTAAAGGAACTCCACCGACGTTCAATAAACCCCTAAAATGATAATACAAAAATGAATTTGTTCCTTATATAGATCAGCTGGTGTACTTAAAAAGAAAGATAAATAAGAAATATACCCAGAAATAAATTGAATGTCGTATTGATGTGCTATTCTTAGCCCGATTGGAGTGAAAAGCGTTGTTTCCATTGTTTTATTCGAATAAGACATACTCAGTAAGGATTTAATTGATCTCAATAAATTTCAGTGATGAAGATATTTAACTTGAGGATGAGCATAGTATAGACCTTTTTACAATACGATTCTTCCATAGCAACCAATGTTGCATTTCGCGCATGCGCATTCTGCGTAGGGCAAAGGCGCAATATCAAGTTTATTTCAAATTTGCATTCAGGCCACTGGCCCATACACATGTATACATGAAATATATATATATATATATATAAACACAATAGCATAATGACATGACACCTAGTTAGGATAATATAACATCGCATAATATACAGATTTACATAGAGTTGTATAAAGTACAATGACATGTTGTCAGAGCAGCATTTTAGCCAATTTTCAAAAAACATATAATTATGTAATAAGATTTAGCAACTGACATAAAGACATTTAAGATAAAGATTCATTTCGCAGTTTAAATGCATGATATAAAAACATTGATAAGTTTCGTATTGTCTTTACACTTTTGCATGGCATTAATAAGTTAAATACATGATTATTTGGATGTTCCCAATACTTATTTGGTATAAATTGTTGACGTAGATTATTATATAAAGGACATTTTAACAGAAAATGAAATTCGCATTCAATTTCATATGGACAGTGTATACAAAAACGGATTTCCCCTGGAATACCAATATGTCTTCCTTTCTCTATCATCAATTGATGAGAAGATGACCTAAAAGCAGCAAGACTACTCCTAAATTTCAATATATCTATACAGTCCAGATATTTTTCAAAATTAATATTACATTTAAAATTTCTATAGAATACTAGCTTTCTGTTTTCTAAACACTCACTGTTCCAATTTTGCATGTACTGATCTTTTAATCTATTTACATAAAGGGTAAGGAATAAGTTTGCATTTTCAACCTTTTGTTGTTCCCAAATATAGCCAAAACCATTCTTATAGAGATTTAATCGTAGAGTTGTCACCCAATTTTTATAACCTAGTTCATCTAACCGTTTAAGCATAAAATAACTTTTTTTTAACATATCTCTCATCATCCATATATAAAATCCGTATCCAAAATTTAATACAGCTTTTTGTTGCATATATATACATTGGGTATCTTCCACAATCTCCCATTACAACTGCATTACACGACTTTAAAAAATATTCATAAATCTCTTACATGCATATATTTGAACACGTTCTATACAATCCCTAACTTCAAGTCCCCATATTTCTGACCCATATAACAAAACAGGACATATTTTTGAGTCAAAAATTTTAAAATAAGATTTACCTGACATTGGTAAAAGATTATACATATTTTTTAAAAGGATAACTAATACTTTTTTTGCTTTTATAGCTAAATTTTCAGACATTTTATACAATGATAATTTACTAGTGAAATTTAAACCCACATAGGTAAAGGCATTAACTATTTCAATAAGGTTATCATTATAAAACCATTTTTCTCGTTTAGATAGTTGACCTCCGTTTTTAAAAACAACAATTTTAAGTTTTTAAGATTCCATTCCAAACAATATTTTTGAAGACTGTTGAGTTGATTTTGTAAACCTTCGATGGAATCTGAAATCAAGCCTACATCATCTGCAAACATTAAAAGAAAACATTCAATATCTCCAGGTGATAACTGCACACCTTGAGTAGCATTTTGTCTCAAAAAGGACTCCAAATCATTAATAAATAAGCAAAACAAAATTTGACTGAGCTTACACCCTTGTCTTAAACCTGGAGGGCATTCAAAGCAATCAGTTAAATTATTATTACTACTTTTGACACATGCTTTTACTGATTTATATATACTCTGTATAGCAAAAAGTAATTTACCTTTAAAACCATGTTGGTACAATGCATAATAAAGCTTTGATCTATTTACAGAATCAAATGCCTTCTTGAAATCTATAAAGGCTACATAAACCTTTTTACCTTTCATACCTAAATATTTACTCACTATTGAATATAATACAAAACCGTTATCAATGGTCGAATATCCACTACGAAAACCTGATTGGGCTTCAGTAATTTTATGTAGAGCCTCAGAGTAAAAAGTTACACGTGTTGTTAATATACTAATATATAGCTTACTAAAAATATCTAAAAGAGCAATACCTCTGTAATTATCTGGATTGTTAATTTTTCCTTTTTTATAAAGAGGAACTATAACTTCTTCTGACCAATTTGAAGGAAATTCACCTGATGTGTAAAGCCGGTTAAATAGCTTCCTAATATAAGGTAGTAAAATGTGTATACCAAAAATAAAATGTTCTGCTACCAAATTACCTGAAGAAGATTTTTTAGGATTTATATTTTTCAAAGCCTCAAGAATTTCATCATTAGTTATGTCACTATTAAACAAGCTGTCTTCAATATCATCTAATATAAGGTTATCAGGTACATCATCAACACTAGTTTCAGTATTACTATTGAACAATAAAATTGACAACAGTGTATGATACTTTAAGGCTTTAATAGTCGTGATTCCATGCTATATCAACCAGAAAGGACGACTTAAAGCGATAAGTACTTAAAACGTCAATTGATATTTATAACAGACATAATAAATATGCAGGACTAATAATCCAATGGTCAAAAGGCGAATACAAAAGACGTCTGTTTAAGGTATCATAAGACGACTTTTTCATCCGTAATTTAAATTTAAACAGCAGGGTGTTAAAGATTAAATTATATTACCCCTGTATTAGTAATAGAAAGAGCATCGAAACACGAGGCTATCTGATTTATACGAGGGGACGTAGCCCCCCGAGTATTAATCAGATTGCCGAGTGTTTGGATGTTCTTTCTCTTTTGTATCATAGTCAAACATAAAAACACGTTCCCTGTTGTCACAATATGAAACCCCGGAGAAAAGTAACCAATGAACGAGCATCTAAATATGACATATCTGTCGCTTTCCCTGTCTCTGCCGTCACAATAAGTAAACCCCAGCAAAAATGAGCCAATCAATGGGCATGCTCTGGAGTGCGGGTAACTAATACCTGCACTCCAGTTAACGCACGATACATGTATATGAATACGATTTAACTCGGACACATTTTCAACAGAAAGGTCCCCAAACTATGATACATGTACAACATAATATTACACAATGTGTATTGTACACTTTCTTTGGATTTGCCAGTCGGTAAGTGTCAAACAGATTGACACGCGACCGTGGTTGTTTGTTTCCAACTAGAAATTGTATAAATATCATTCAACCGGGACGTTTTAGAACCAAGACATAGTTAATCACGTACAATTATGTAAATCGTTATTTAAGTAACTTATATATATATACCGATCTCATCAATGTTTATTGATTTGTGAAGTGACAATTAGTGTGACTTGCATTAAAAAATATTAACATGTCTTACGAGGAACCGGATAAAATGAGTGTTATTTCAATTTCCTTAAAGATTTTGAAAAAAAAACTATTTAAAATATATTTATGTGACTTAAAAATTATCTGTTTTGCATCACAGTCAAATAAAGGATAAAATCATGTAAACTGAACACTAAAAATGCATTATCACCGGGCCTTTTCTGACTATTTTCAGAATGCTTATTAACCTCGATTTCATATGTTATCAAATTTCTTATATCTTTTTTATGAACTATTTCAACAACAATTTAGTTGACTCAAATTTGAATAAAAGATATAATTCCACATTTTCTTAAAAAAAATCTCAATGTCAGGTCCGTGACCGTAAGTGGGAATTCTTAACCAATTTCCTTTTCCATGCCTTTTTATGGCAATTTTGGCAACAAAGCTATAACGAAGCTTTTCTATTTTATATAATTTTTTACCTTTTACCTTAAACTTACTCGGAATTATCTATAAACTTCTTCTATATTTCTATGTTAGACTAGGCTTTTTTTGCCCTAAACAGATTGCGCATGTGCGGGAAATTACTACTTCCGGTCGATGTTTGATAGCAACGAACCGCGTCGTAAAAAGGTCTATATCGTTAAGAGATGAGAAACTCCGTGTTTAATCCTAGTTTAATCCGTATTGAATCCGCTTAGATACAGCCTTACTTGTATAATATAATTCTTATAATACTCCATTACATATTTCGTTGTTAAATTATTTTATAGCTTTCCTCAGAACCTCGATGGTTCAACATATATAGCAAAGAGATTGGGACCGAGAATTATGGCGAATGTCATCTTAGATATGAATCGCCTGATGCAAAAGGAGACTTTGTTTAAAGGGGGCAGTGTTTGTAAGTAGAAATATACGATATATATAAAAAGACAAATAAGTGCCGGAAAAAAGTCACATATAATAAAAAAGAAAAAATGAAAAACCTATTTAATGATTTGCCAAGCGGTTTCTCTTAATATGATCATCAGGGCAAAAGTGAGGTCTAGGATAGAATTAAAGAACTTAAAAGTGACTTAAAGTGACTAAAGATTGTGTATTGAGCATAGCATTTAAAAAAATACTTATAGAAACAGTGTCGCAATGAAGTATTTGTTCGGGTAATAAATTATATAAACCGAATATTTAACTTTATTACTAGTTTATTTTAGCTCTTTGAACATAAATGTACACGTTTGTAATAAAAACCCAATGACAAAATAAGGAGTCCGCTCATTCTAGTGAAGAACCCATACACATTTTTCATGAAAAAAATGAAGTGAGACAGCGTGAATTAAAATAGTGAAATAATTAAAATATTATGAAAGAAAATAAAATCTGGATCGTCCATGGTATTGATGCGTGTTTTTTTGTTCACATCCTTTGCAAAACAAAATTTACGTTCGAATTTACCTCGAAAGTACATTTTGCTTTGCAAAGGATGTGACAAAGTTGTCATATTCGGTTTTGTTGGTATAACATGTACTTGTAGATGATCACGATGCCTAAACCACGTGACGTAAAAACCTTTGTTGACACCTAATTTTAGCGACATGCACCAGCTCGGAAGTAGCGATAGAGCAATTTACCGTATATCTCGGAAAAGGTAGCTTTATCGTTTACCAGACATGCATAAATATTTTTCAAAGAACGATTTTGTAATTTGTATGTTTGAAAATAAAAAATCCATTGTAGTCATAGTAACGAGAAGTTGGCACATACATCGAAGATCGGATATCGAAATTAAGTTTGTAGTGAATATCGAGCTATCTTTGAACGGAGATCGAAATTCAAAGTAAATCAAAGGAGTATTTCGAGGTAGAGTTGAATTTCGAGCCAGCTCGAAGATCGAAATTCAAAATAATTAAAAGCTCAATTTTGAGCTAGAACTGAATATTGAGCCAGCTTTATAGTGGATATCGAGCTAGCTTTGAACTTCGAGCCAGTTTGAAGATCGAAATACAGAAATTTAAAATCCCGAATTTAGAGCTAGAGTTGAATTTCGAGCCAGCTCTAAGAAAGAAATTCAAAATTTCCATGGCCGAATTTCGAGCTGGAGTTAAATTTTGAGTCAGCTCGAAGACCTGAATTCAGAATTTGAAAATCCCGAAAGAACAGTTACCTATTGTCCCTCTAGCCACATTATTACTGTCCCATGAGAGTGGACGGACAGAGGCATAGACGGAAAGACGTGCTGACTTCAACTGGAGAGTGAGCGAGTGAACTATACAAATATATCAACAACTGTTCACACATAACCGATTGCTTGTCATCCAAGCTCAGCGCTACCGATTCTATAACGCGACAACGTTCCGTGGCAACTTACAGAATGCTACCGGTGTGCGTGTAGGCGTTAGAATTACTTGCATGAATATCAGGATTGAGATAACGACGGCTTGTAATACGCTTCCTACAGACAAAGCAACATTATCAAAACATTTGGAATGGATACTTAACCATGCTACTTGGACCAAACATTACAGGGCCACAGTTCTTTACAAAGATTATATTTAGTCATGGTTTTGTGTGGACTTCACGGATAGGTGGGTTGGGGTAAAAAACTACTTAATAAGCGCTTTGCGTCAGTTTGTGTTGCAGAACATGACCGATTAAGTGGAAGTTCAGTCATGGTATCGGCGGGGATTAGTGCTTAGAGGAAAACAGATTTACACGTCATTGAAAACGGCACCCTGACGATTGAGAGATATATCAATGGAATGTTGGACTTTTATATATGTACGACCATTTGCAGGTGCTGTAGATGATAATTAAATTCTAACGGATGATAACACGTGGCCAGTAGCCACGCTAAGAAAGTATCTACAAATCTCCCCGACATCCATAAAAGTTTAGGATGTCATCTTAAAATGTTGATTTTCATCTCTTGTGTTCTTTTACCAAGTTTACGCGACAATGAACACTTCTATGATCAACAAGAAACCTGTGTAAATGTCATCTCTTTTAAACACAAAATTGTAAGTTAATTTCGCATATTTTTGTGGAAAAGTTTAACCTAATACATATATTTACAAAGTAATGTCTTGTCTGAAATTCTGAATAAACCAATGTTTTCCTGTTGCAACAAAGGTTGAAAGGTCTGCTCGAAGCAAAACAAATTCGCGTTAAAATTACCACAATCCACCTAGCCTATAGTGTCAAGAAGTGCTCTCCAACTGAGGCATAATTACAAATTTATACACTGAATTTAAAATCTTCATATCGATCCCTTTTTTCTTTTAGAATGTAAATTGACACTTATTCACGTTTGTTGTGCATTACAGATGTTCTGTCTACAATAATTATTACTCTTAAATATAAGGAGGCTACAATCGATTGATAAATGCATTACGGTAATTAAAGGAATTGCGATGAATTATACCCTAATCACTGGTTCCCTTTTCAAATTTGGTTTTCGTCATTAGACTTTAGTCTGGCTCATTGACATGTTATTTATTAGGTAAATAAAAAAGATAAAAATAGAAAGGATATGATATTCAAACTATCATTGAAGTTAAAACGTTTATTTTAATTTCTAAACCTCGGAAACATGTTGAACATTAGAAAATGTAGTTTTATTAAAGAATCTGAAAACTGTGTAATTTCGTTTAAACAAAACAAACAAACAACAAAAACAAAAAGACAAATAAACGAAAGCAAGACTTAACTTTTCCCCATTGCTGAATGGACGAATGCATATCAACTTGCCGCCGCGTGCACGCGGCGTCCAATAAAATTTTGAGTAGTATATTAATTGCAAGATACTTTTAATTGCATTTGAAATAGTAGAATGTTAAACAATTAATGTTCCTTGTTTTGTTCTTTTCTATCACTTTTGGAGCTGACATTCATAACTTTGTGCTGAAAATAAAGAAATCAAAATACGTACGTATACACGAAATTTTGTCTGTTAAACGAAAAATAATTAAATACATCCAAGAATGACAGCAAATTCTATTGTCATTTATTAATTTATTCAGTCAGTCGAGTCACATGTAGTCATCAATTCATTCATTCATTTTCCTTATTAATAAATAAATAAATAAATAAATAAATAAATAAATTAATTAATTAATTAATTAATTAATTAATTAATTAATTAATTAATTAATTAATTAATTCATTCATTCATTCATTCATTCATTCATTTCATTCATTCATTCATTCATTCATTTTTCTTATTTATTATTGATTAATTCATTCATTCATTCTTTTTCTTATTAATTGATTAATTAATTAATTAAATAATTAATTAATTAATTAATTAATTTATTTATTCATTCATTCATTCGTTCGTTCGTTCGTTCGTTCATTCAATCATTCATTCATAAATTCATCCATCATTCATATACTTATTTATTCAAGAAAGAAACAGTTCTACCTTTGCATGTATTTGGTATTTGAATGATCATTGAGACGATTTTGTTCGGGGGTCCCAAACAGAATGCCAACACGTTTCGATTAAAGTAGCTCGGAAAACAACCGACGCCGACTGCCTTGGGTATTTCGAATTTGGCACAAGAGAAGTCGTGTTCCAGTCTGTAATATAATATTAATTTTGTAGACGCCAAATCACAAAATACCTTTTAATTTTTAATATCTGATTCTAGAAGATTTTTTTTAATTTATTTTCTTTATAACCATTCGTTGAAAGTGTTTAACTGTTTATTTATTTATTTTACTTTTATGTTTTGATTATTATTATTATTTTTTTTATTATTATAATTTAAGATTTTAGCTTGCGACATATAAAAGTTCTGCCTAACAAATGGTAAACCGACTCGCGAATTCCCCGTTCCATATTGTTTGCTATTTTTTAATATGAGCCGCGTCATGACAAAACCAACATAATGGGTTTGCGACCAGCATGGATCCAGACCAGCCTGCGCATTCGCGCAGTCTGATCAGGATCCATGATGTTCGTTTTCAATCTCTATAACAAGTAGAGAAACTGATAGCGAACAGCATGGATTCTGATCAGACTGCGCGGATGCGCAGGCTGGTCTGGATCCATGCTGGTCGCAAACCCATTATGTTGGTTTTGTCGTGACGCGGCTCATATTTATTTTACTACATACAAGCTATACTTACTTTAAATCGCATTCGGCGATATTGACATTTTCGATAATCCAGCAGTTTTCTGTATCAGACTTAATCCTCTGTCTGCAGACCATTTTTCTTGAAGTGTTACACATGGCATTGTACATGCATTCCGGATAACGAGAAACCGCGTTACTCTCAAGTCTGTTCAATATAAAACACTCAAATGAAAAAAACAAGACTTGGAAATACTCAAACAGTTATTTTTAACTTTTAACCTTTAACCTGCTGACGTAGTGTAATGGATTTGCCTATCTCCGAATTTGGGACAGTCCGTTCTAAGATAAAGGGGCTTCAATGTCAAAGTACAAATACTGAGCTACCAACAGTAAAGATGTAGATATATTGTCTTGGCTAAATGAGCATTAATCTGTCCGTAAAGACACAAAATACAGCCTTCACTGCAGAGTACGGACTCCTGACATGTCACCAGTCGTACGCTTCTTTAATTTCCGCCGTATCAAGTTCTTCAAAGCTTCTGCGAATGTCCTGTGCATCTCCGAGGGGTGCGGTAGCCTAGTGATGAAGGTGTCTGCCTCTCAACCCAGGGATCATGGGTTCGAGCCCTAATTAGGTCACGACCATGTTTCTTCATTATGTCACCAGTACTTTTCAGGAAGCAGACTCGAAAGTGATTTATATGTTGCAAGAACTTGTTTCGCAATCAAGCTTAAATAAATAATATTATGTTTAAACCATGTATGGTTGTGCCTCTCCGCAACGTGCACGTACCGTGCGGAAGGAGGGCCGACAGTTTAGAGGCTGGCAACTGTTCGAATGGTTCTAGCATGTAAAAGGTTAAGTCAGACAACCTTTAACAATGCTTTACAACATGGACTTATAATGATTGCCCCCCTCGCCCCCACAGTTATTAAACAAAGAGCCTTCCTCCGGATATCATATTCAACTTGAAAGCACATACATAAATTATGCGAGATTTTACCATTGCAGAAAACAAAAACTAAAATGTCAGATGAAAAAAAGAAAAGAAAAATTTATAAATTTAACTTACTCTAGATGCTTCACAGCCGCTTCATTCCTTTGTTGCAAGATGACCTGCATTTCATCTGATAAATTAGATTTGACTTTCTGATACTCCTGTCTGCAAAATTAGAAAATTGTCAAAGTTTGATATTAGGTATTTCATTTACATACACATAAATACACTGATTCTTTTAAGAAATATTTAGTCCATTTTTCTAAATTCAAAATAATAACGAAAAAGTATATAACATCTTAAATTACGGCTTAAATTTCAAATAAATATTTAATCGTTCGTAAAATGTATAATTTCAACACGTGTATTTTGCTGACAAAGTAATAACGAAAACATATCACATGTTAATACGATTTAAATTTCATAATAAATATTTAATCGTACGTAAAATGTATAATTTCAACACGTGTATTTTGCTGACAAAGTAATAACGAAAACATATCACATGTTAATACGATTTAAATTTCATAATAAATATTTAATCGTACGTAAAATGTATAATTTCAACACGTGTATTTTGCTGACAAAATAATAACGAAAAAAAATATCACATGTTAATACGATTTAAATTTCAAATAAATATTTAATCGTACGTAAAATGTATAATTTCAACACGTGTATTTTGCTGACAAAATAATAACGAAAAAAAATATCACATGTAAATACGATATAAATTTCAAATAAATATTTAATCGTACGTAAAATGTATAATTTCAACACGTGTATTTTGCAGACAAAAATGATCATAAAACCGCATTTGTTGTATTAAAATAGAATTGTACTGTACTCTGGAAACGTTCCTTCTGAATTCAGAATAAGACTTCCGGTCTTAACTTCCGGTGGACCGCACATCGCCTGTCGTTTTGCCCGGGCTTCCGGTTCATGAATCTTGTAAACGTGGATTGGAGTGAGGGTTAAAAATAATACCCAACTTGTATACAGCTGAAACAAAAAAGGCAATGTAATTTACATAGACGATAAGTATTTTAATATCTTAAATACGTACTGTGACGGCATATTCTACATGAATTCTATATTCATAAACCATATCGAAACGCAATTGTTGTTATCAAAAAATGTATTCACACGCCTGACAAAGCAGGCATAAAACGAACGTTATTATTCTATAAGGTTAGCTTAGGTAATATCTAATTTTATCTTATCTTAAATAGATACGGGAAAAAGCGACATCCTTCATGCATTATCAGTACATTCTATTTGCTTTTGTAACTATTAACAAAAATACCAAATGGACATGACTGACCATTAGTCTGTACGTGTTTATACCTTTGACCCTTTACTGTATACTAAATATTCAAATTGTAATGAGCTTATAAAATCAATGTTTATGTTTTATCTATCATAGCGATTTTACCAGCTCAAACTAACTTCAAGTAAATTGAACTTTCTAAGGTTTAAAGTGAAACAATTTTAAATTAATACAATTTTATCTTTAAATAAACAATGCGTTACATGTTTAGCAAGCATAATTAATTCTTGTCAGAAACAAAATGTTTGCAACAAAAGAAAATGACAATAACTCTTACCAGACGCGCCATAGCTGTCCGTAAAATTTTGATTCTTGCATGTTTGTGGCGTATGAAGATGAAGTATGTGTTCTTCGGTAGCCCGTTAAGATTACTCCGCTGAAAAAATAACAAAAATAATTCGCCGAGTAAGAAGTCCTTGAAGCAATTAGATAATTTATCTGAAATCAAAATCGCTTAATGGATCTATCTTAATTTTTTTATTATTTTCGTTTCACTGATTTGTCATTTAATTCTCACTTGTAGAAATCAAAGTGAATGTTTGGTTGATTGATGAACCATTAGAATTTTAAAACGTGCATAAAATAATTATAGAATGTATTGATAAATGCATGAACAATTCAGGAAGATCAAAATGTATATCTTATTTATTATTTAGGAATAGGAAACATTCGATGTATCTCTTTAGACGACCGACCGGTCGAATGGTCGTTCGGCTGTCTCTCTCATTGATTGGTTGGTTGGTTGGTTGGACGGACGGACATACGGACGGTCGGTCGGTCGGTCGGTCCTATTCAAATAACATTTAAAGCATGTTTTTGGAAGACAATGTACTGTAAAATATTGCATGTATTCGCGATAGTAACGTTTTGCCGCTTAATAACATGCAAGTTAACTTAACATTGCAGTTCGAAGCTAACTTTAAAAAGTGTGAAATGTAGTGTTTAAAGTCGTACGAATCCCACATTCAAGCTTAAAGCTGCCTTCAGCTTTTTTAAAGTTATTAAAAAACGTTATTGATATATAAATCGTTTCATATAATTGTCAAATCAAAAGAATTAAAGTGGAAAATGAAATTTGCTAATAATAAAATACATAAAAAATTAGGAAATTTCTCGATACCTCTAAACTACCGGTTCGTTCTCTATATTTAAATCAGTGAAACGGACGATTCATTTTCGGATCTTCTATTTTTAGAAAAGATCGTGACTGGCACGATATAAATATATCTCGGGACGCTGTTTTGCAAAAGACTTAACAGTGATATGATGAACAAAATCAAATTACAGAAATACTTAGTTTGAAATAACACAGAATTGCTTTCCCTGCAGAAAATAAAAGTTGAAGGCCGCTTTAATGTTTACTTGAAGTGTCGAATATGGTGCTAAAAGTCATGGTTCAAATCTCGCATTAGAGCTGAATGTTCAAAAGGGCCGAATGTAGCCAAAAGTGGTGCAAATCTTTCATTTGAGATTAGTGTTCAATTTAATTGTCGAATATGGTGATAAAGCCATGACAGAATTACATACCCACACTGGCCATAGCTTTCGCAGAAGCGGTGGGTCTACCGGTGCGGCGATGGAGAATTCGTCGCAGAAGCGGTGGAAAAACATGGCTGTCGGATAGTTTTTTGCTGGTGTCGGTAAGTTTATGACTTATTTGTACGTTATGTTTTTATGTTTAACTGATAACACCTAGTGAGACTGGAGCCCACATATGTACTCTTCCAACTTTTTACACGCATGGGGTGCAAATCATGACCAGTTATGCAAACACTTCTGTACAGTTTGACGAGGGGACGCCACTTTTGCCTAATTTTGTTTATAACACTACAAATGTACTCAAAACTACCCCTAGATACACTGGCATCGCATCGTATGTATGATAATTACACAAACCAACCATATTTTGGAACTTTTGGAAATTGATATTACCATTTTAATAAAAGAATTGACAAAAATTGATTACAACGCAGACGGCGGTGGATTCGATTGCAACGCAGTGCGGTGGGCCCGATATCATTTATGTCTTTTTTCTAACGTTAAAGTCACAGACACTTAGGAGTTGAGCTCCAAACACCTAAAAATACAAATGAAATATATGTTTGTTAATCCTAACACATATAGTTGTTATATATATATATATATATATATATATATATATATATATATATATCAATGAAAGTAAATATACGCTTTTTTGCATCATGTACCTTATAAATATGTTTTTATAAAATAATCCCTGTTTTAGATACTAGTGGTGTTTGTTAACTACATTTATCACACACCCGTCCCGATTTTGCGACTCCGTAAATATGGTATGGCACGGCCGTGCATATATTTTGACGTGACGTCATTAGCGTTATGCTAACATAGTGTAAAGACGCGCTAAATGTTAGCGTTATACTATAGGCGCGTCAATGAATCAAAGTGCTGCAGCACTGAATGCGACGGACATGCAACCGGAGAGACATTAAGGCTTCTTTTAGAAAAAAACAAAACAAAAACAAAACACAAAATAATTATATAACAGAGAAATTCGTTCCATACAAGTTCGAGATTTGTAGAGCAATATATTTTGTGTCCCAAACTGATATAATTCAGATTTTCTACTTTCAAGCACTTAAATACAGAATGAAATTTATGCCTAAAAACTCTGGTCAAACTTGTAAATCAGTGTCCTTATCGATTTATTCCAAGAAATGATATGTAAATAGAAAAAAAACTGTTAACGAAATATTTCTAAAATAAAACCAGGCAAATAAACTTCAAACATAAATTAATACATTATACATTCGAGAATGCTATTTAGAATTGCTTCGTGTTATATCATAGTGGGCATATAGACAATAAAATATAAGTCATTTGTATTTTTTATGTCTCATTAAAAAAAATTTTGGTTAAAATCATCAGCAATTAATAGTGTATTTTTTAGATTTTTTTTATTTACAAGGTAAAGATGTAGAGGCCAGAGCACATCGTTTTTATTTTAATTTAAATGTCACTTAAGCACTACAGTGTTTAGTTGTCCTTTTCAATTTCACACTAAATTCCATTTTCAACTTGTTTGCTTCTTACAATTGTATAGAATTTCTAAAAGTATTGGTTTATTACATGTATAAAGTGTACTCCCTAATCGCCTGTCCAAAAATCAGAACAGGTGCAGCAGAATCTATTTTTAGAATAGCGAAGGTTAACTCATATCATGACCTAGAAAAATATGTAAACAAACCACAAGAATCGGAAGTAGAACTGATATTATAACTTCCTTACCATGAAAGACTACATGGCGGTCAAGTGTTAAAAATTAAACTCTCTTCTTACATGCATTTTCAAAAATAGATATTTCTACTAACCATTGTACTGTATCTAAGATATTAATAACTGCTGAATATTCAGCTAAACCCGCGGTATGAGTCATGAAAACAGTTCTTCTTTTATTAATGCGCGAGTTATCCTAGAGTCACGAAAAACTTTTGATTAATTTTCGATTTGTTAATAATAATGTTTTGTATAATGAAGAAATATTTATTTCCTACTAATAATGTCTTGGAACTCAGAGGTTACACCTTTATTGTAGTATAATTTTCTGTCCTACTTTTTCGACAGCGGTAAATCGTTTCGGCAGTAATTTGCATATTGCGCAATAATACTACGGGACTACAACGTTTTTATCAATAATATACGTTCATATTTTAACTTGGATAACTTAATTTGAAATTGAAAAGGCTAAATATGGAAGATTTTAAGATATCCAGACAAAGTATGGGAGTTTTGAAGGATCAAATTCATGTACTATTTCTTGGGCTGTTAATCGGTTTAGGACACACTGCGCGATTGTAGTCAACGAATTCCCATGTAGATGACTTAGCTCTGAACGCGCCTGAGGGCGCGTCCGTCGCAAAAATGACTCTTATTTCACTTTAAACGGTCTCTATTTTGGGTATGTGATAAATAGAATATTAAATTCGTGTAAGTTCATTACTGAATTTATTGCAGTCGTTGAATAAATTAATATTATGCTCGACAGAGGCTCGTATAATATAATTTTATTCAACTCGTGCAATAAATTCAGTATTGAACTTACACTTATTCAATATCCTCTATGTATGGGTTGTTTAAAAATTAATTATAATGTATACATTAATTATAAAATAATCTTGTATTCTATTTTCAATCTATGCATCATGTACCTTATCAATATGTTTTTATAAAACAATCCCTGTTTTTGATTCTAGTTTAGAATATTGGGATGTATGTTAACTTTGTAGTGCTTAAATGGTTATTTTAACTTATAAATTGAATTAAAAAATACTTAAAGTTTGTATTTTCTTTACAGACTATGCATTCATTTAACTTATAAAATGTCTTCACAAATTAAATCCTAGTTTGGACACTAGTTCAACAAATTGAAGTATATGTTAACTATGTATCGCTGAAATGTTAATTATAGCTTAAACTCGTATATTGAATTGAATTTATCAATTTAACAAATCAAAATGTTTTTGTAGTTTAACACACAAGAGTCATCATTAACTATGTATTACTAACACATTGGTCATAAATTTATTTTGAACTTTATTTTTACTTATGAACAGTTTGTGATAAAATTTTAATACATTGATAAGATGAGATGAGATGAGATAAGATCTGTTGTTAGTGACACTAATTATAGCTTTATTGTTTTATCTATTTTTTTTATTTTATTTATTTCATTTTTTTTAATATAACTTAACATGTTAACATTAAATTATATCAAATTTTTATTTAACATGTACAAAGCTATAAATAGGCTGTATGTAATATAAAAAATTATAGAATGCATTTTGAAATAAAATATTACAAAATACCTGACAAAAAAGGTAGACGAAAATGTTGTTTATTGGCCTATGAGCGAATTGCACATGCACGCGTTCAAATTATCGTATATTTTTGTTTGTAAATTGTAATTGTAATCTTTAAGTCACAATTTAAATTGTCGCTCTTTCGTTTTCGTTGCTTTTCACGGTCTGTCGTTCCTCCTTTGGTTGGACAGTTTGGTGGTTTTTGTTGTCCAACTTTGTGTCATCTATTATAACGTTTGCTACAATTGTTTTCTATATGAAAGCGTATTTGAAGTTTCTGGTTAATCTTTTGATTATATCATAATCTATTCCTAGACAATAAAGACGTCTGGCTCTGCCAGACATTATCAATCAAATTTCTATGTTTGTATTTTAACTCTACTGAGGATGGCACAAATTAACAAGGAGGAACATGTACCGTGGTAAAAGTAAAACATAATTTTATATACATTTCCAAACTTTTCATGAAAATAAACATGACTATTGAGGCGTGCTGCTTTAAAATCCTAATAATTATATATTTATTAATTCCAGCCCATATACTTATCATATATTTCAA